AAATGTCTGACCCCCCCCCCCCCACGCGCCCTCAGGTGCGTGACGTCATTTATGGACGGTCCCTTAATCCATGTTCGTGGCCGGAAATGTCAGCGATGGCGGAGGCAACGACGGGTCCTGAAAAGGTCCACGATTTCTTGCGTGCCTTGTGGGCATGTTTAGTGCTCGACTAATACTGTGCCTCTTTGGACACTGGCCTTTGTACTCGAATGGTTTGGTTTAGGGGTGCTATCACAAGATCCCTTCTGTAACGTTTATTTCTGTAATCGTCCGTATGCAATTGCTCCCACGTGGTGTGCAATTTGGCAACACTGGCACGTTGTTGGTTGTAGTTAATGCCCATCTGGTGCAGTTTCAATTGCCATTGAGCTGGTTCTGAGACGGCAGTAATGCAGTGTTTATTTCTTATTTATCCGTGCGGAGATTTGGGGACAATCCCCTTGTTTGTGTGGGGATTGTCCCCAGCTGCTCTGGTGTCGTCCCACATGACAAACGGTCGAACTTTCGAATGTAGAACCGAGATAAAAAAAATAGCCTTAATATTAAGTGAGGCTTTTGTTTTGGCTTTTATACGTGGCGTGTATTTGTAATTTTGTTAAAATCAACATCAGCCATTATAAGACAAATATGTTAAATTATGGTACAAGCCACACCACTCTGTCATGCACGGTGGTGAGATGTTAACTACCTCACCTGGTATGCAGGAGGTCATGGGTTCGATCCCGACCCTGACACCTGTATATTTGGAGTTTACGTGTCTCTCTCCCCGTGGTTGCGTGGGTTTTTCTCCGGGTCCTCCGGTTTTTCCCTCCACATTTAGAATCAACAACATGCGTTCAGACTATTTGGCTGTTATAAATTTCCAATTGATAAGCCACTTCGTTGAGCTATCATTTGTTATGGCCTGGTCCCTTCAGAAAAATAGCTCAGTGGGCTTTACCTGGTAAAATAAACAAAAATCTCATACCAGTGTCTACTAACCTTGGCTAAAATAGTGCTCTTTCACTGGCACATCCGAGTTGAGCCAGTGATGGACCCTCCCGGTACAGGTAGTTTACCCCTGGTTATTTGTCAGAACCAAACTGTGATACCTGGCCTCACAAGACACCTGCATCTGGCTCGGGGCCAAGCAGGGCCACACGGTGAGAACACGGCACCGGCTGTGAACCCTCCCTGCCTCAGCTTGGTTGTACAGTGGAAAACAGTGAAGATACCTCAAGGTTCGTAGTAGTAGTAATAATAACAATACTTTATATATAGCAGCGTCATTCATGCCAACAGCATCTGCCAACGCTGTACATTAATTATAGATAAGGACCAAATGTCATACACGCGGTTAGCTACGTGCAGCGTGAAAGTAGCCCGACAAAGACAAAGATCCCCGTATAGCCTGTAACAGACTGTTGGGGCAAGTGTTGTTTGTGAGCATCTATGAAGGCCGGCGCACAGCACACGAGGGGGTGGGTAGCCAACACCACGCCCGGTCGCCTGTTGTCTCCCTAGTGGCGATGTTTTCACATCGCACCAGGTACTCATTTGAGACTGAGTCGACCTAGGGGAGGCCCAGGACCGGTTCAGATAATCGTCACCGGTGTTGGCTGTGAGCAGGAATCGAACCCGGGTCGCCGGGTTCATAGCGCAGCGCGCTGACCACTCCACTCCCGCTCCCCACACACACGTACATTCACACCAAGCAAGTGCAAACCCCTACTACTGCTACCAAGCAAACATATTTTTTTTTAAGGATTGGCACCAAAACAAAAAGCACAAACAACAACAAAAAGTTGTCAAATCAACGAAATGAGTCCATGTGTGTATGGGAACATACAGCTGCAGTACCTCTTAACGCTTTAACGCGTCTTCTTCACTCTAGCTCTTACACAGAGGCACTTGTAGGACACAGGTTCCAGTAATTGCGTCCTTTAATGGCTCAATTATGACCTCACTCATGCCCATCCCAGGTGACCCAACCACCACATTCTTTGGCTGCACGGTGCGAGGCTATTCACCATTTACTCCGTGTGACGTCAACATACTCCCCGTGGCAGCACTGCGCTTGTAAATGGTGAAAAGCAGCAATTTAATGTGGGTGATAACAACGCTCAACATTGGCGCACGCCACTCAACTGTGGCACGGTACACGTTGGTGTAAAACACTGTCAAGTGTATACTGCCCGCATGTCAACGTTGGCGAGGGCTCGCCGAACCGGTTTTTTTTACAATGTTAAGGTTGTGTAAGCGCTTCTGTTTAATGCCTAATGAAGTTGCGTTTGCCCATTCATTGGTTGGCATTCCTGTTGCCACGGCCAAGTTACGACACGAAAGCCCACGCCGATTCCTGGGAGCGCTCAACACCAAGATCCCATCCCAGTTAGCTGGTCGCAATGTTGTTGATGAAATAACAGAATTATCTAATCAAGACGAACTTGGTTTGACTCGTACGCTCTTCTCCAGTGTTGTATACATGACGGTATGACTATACTGCATATATAAAGTTAGCCTTACGGCCTTCGGCACTGGATTGAAGGGGGCTCAGATGCCCCAATGTTTAAGTGCAACGGTCCCGGTTTTAATCCCAGCCTGAGAATGTATCATTTTGCTCTGTTTGATCGTAACACGACGTTCGAGTGGGGAGATCGGTGGACAAGGCCAAACCTCAATTCCCAGCCGCGGCTAACAGCAGCGGCGAGTGATGTGCATGCAAGGTGCCTGTTTTGCCGAATTGGTTGTGGACGGAAGCAGTGGGGTTAAAGTATTTTCGGTGAGCATGGTGGGTGATTTCATGGTAGTGTTGCCACAGACCCCAGCCACCCGGCATTGCTACAGACTGCTATTGCTACATGGTGCTCTTGCTACAGACGGCGTATCTCCATCGTCTCTACAGGCCGGTGTACTGTAGAACGCATGGATCCGTAGTACTTCTATAGGAGGCAATGGAATGAGGTTGAGGCCACATGGGTCCTACTGGAGGTGACGTGGCTTCGATGCTCGGATAATTACGGTGCTGCACGTTGCAGTAAAAACATTCACAGTATTTTGCAATCCACTGCTGGATAAAAGGCCTCCCCATGCCGTATTGTTCACTGAGAGTTGACATGACCATTCTTTATCAGTCTGGTTAGCCATGACAAGAAATCGAACCCCAGGTTACCTTTTTAGGAGCGCACAATTAATTTCTCGAACGTTAAATGCTATGTCAAAGGCAGAACCTGCGGTCGGTCTTCCGACTTGGTTTTGGTTTTAGTTATTGGTAGGGGTTGTGTGGGTGTTTGCACATGGTATTTGTGGATAGGTGTTTCTCGTAATGTGTGAGATTTGTTTTCCCGTTTGCTCAGCCACGTGTGCACAGCGGGGAGCGTGGTGGTGTGCCTGTGTATAGGAGGAGTAACCTTGCTGAAGCTAGCTCGCACTGATTATGTCAGAGATCGGAATTTACAAAAATGTCGGTGTTTGCATTTTATTTTATTTGGACGTGATATTATCTTGACATACTTAGGTGTTGCATTAAGTGGTAGCACAGTGGCCAGCCCATTTGTTATGAACCCCACGACCTTAAGTCCGATTCCCAGCCAGTAGTCAGCGGTATCTAAACCGGTCTTGGCTATACCTCCACCATCCTGCACTGACCTGCATGGTGCCTTAGTAAAGATTTGAAAGATTATCGAGTCACGTTGCACAATTACTTTGCATGCGCTTATAGTACACACGTCAAGGCTGTAACCGATAAAAATCTCAACACAATACTAACCACGTGCCCTTTTATGTTTGGCACTAAAAACAAGTACCGACGTAAAGTAAATAGCAACCGCTGGTGATTAAACATCTACGATTGCTTCCTAAACTTCATAACTGGCGTTCGTCATTGATCGTGGCGGTGACAATGTAATGAAGGCAATGACGATGGCCGTGATTATCTTCATCATCCACATAGTTATCCATCATCATCTCTTATCTGTGCATACCTGTGGACAATAGGCTGGGTTTAGCGCCTGTGTGTGTGGCTTATTACATCACCTTCCTCCTATCTGCAAAATCACTGATAAGAGGAGTCTAATCTGTGGGTAGCAGAGGGAATTGGAGTTTGTCTGGGCCTCACCGATATTACCAGTTGCAAATAGCAGGAGTTCAATGTCATGTTGTGCGTATGTTTTTGCTGTGGTGTTATCTGTTAGATAGCAAGGATTTAATGGCTATTTTTGTCACTTCGACCTCTTATAGGGCCCAGGAGTTAACAGGAATTATCCTGGTCATGGATAACGGAACTTGTGCCCTATTTGAGTTTTCGTGCGATGAGTGAATGACTCACTTTTGTAAATATCTCTGAATGGTCTTCATGATACTCTGCACCTTTACGTGCCAAGCCTGTGTTTGCCACTTCCTCGAGCTTGTAAAAACCATCGGACATTTTCCATTTGCATAATCACCAACCATGATCGATCCACTGCCCGATGAAGGCTTCCCAAACTGTGCCGCCATCTCTCACAGTCCTGCAGTGTAGCGATATTATCTAGTACCTGCACACGGAGCCGATTCATCACTCCATCTCCCACGGTGGATGCCCTGCTGGGCACGATCCCTCCTTTGGCTGTCTCTCCAACGTCGGCCTTGGCCACCGGCCAATGTCCCCCCTTCGAGCGACGTGTCCTGCGCAAACCCGCTGACTTTTAAATACATCTTTGTTGATACATTGCAGTAGACAAACAGACTAATCCATGAGCTGGTTTTGCATTGAATCTGTAAAGCATATTATTCATCTACATCCGGTTGACCAGCTAAACACGTGGAGATAATCAGAGGGGGGGGGGGGGGTGGTGTGGGGAGGTGGGCCCAGGTACTGGATGGGATAGAAAAAAAGATGGTGGGATGGGATGGGGGTGAGGAGGTAGTGGGGGCGAGGGGAACCCAATTTTGTTAACAGTCGGTACGATATCTCGAACTGAACCTTTCCCCATGTGCCATAATTAACGTGTAAAATTACATTTGTTTTGTTTCTTTTGCAGTGTGCAACACCATGAGCGGCAAGTCCTGTGAAGAATGTCTGAAGAACGTCAGTGTGAGTCGCCTCCATCGTTTAATTTTCACAGCGATTTGTTGAGAGCTCTTTTGTAGCTTCATATACGCGGTACATCACATGACCGAGGGAACACGGCAGTGTCCTTGCTGGGACGTCGTACAGATAATTTCGAGTCCAACCTTTGTTCGATGTAATTATAGTAGCTCTTGAACAAAATGTATTTTGAGAACACACAAGGTGGCTCCATTCGGGAGCCTCTTACCCGTGTGTGAATACAGGTCCAATGCTTGTAGTGGCTTGTATTAGTCTAGTTTTGAAGGAGATTGCTTTACTCAGGCGGGGGGGAGGGGGGAAACAATGTTGCATTGTGAGAGGACTGAGCCAGCACTGTTGATACTCTGGGTTCTATACCCAGGTGATAACTGTATCGGAGATAAAACCAGGTTCTATGGTAGCAAGTTATGACACCGATGATCTCACTGGTCACTGCTGACAATAAGAAACCATAAAGTGTTTTGGTACTGCATTTGCCTCTTGTTAAAGTCCAACTCTGAGAGATGAATCGGTAAATAGTTACACAGAGTGGAGGTCAGCCGCCGTACAGATGCATTTTTAGAGAATATCAGCAAGGGGCCTACGGAGTGACATCGACGGTCCTCTGAAGCCCTTTGTTGAGTCTGTTGCGCCTCATAAATACGTAAATAATAGTGATAGTAATTCTAGTGTATCATCCAAATGTTTGTTATTTTGTCATCTGTGGGATTGTGGGATTGATTTTTGTTTTACTATATTTACTTGCAGCAAAAACATATGTACAATATTACTGAAAATTGGCTAAACATCCCAATGCTGAAAAATGTGTTCCTGAAAATCACTTTCATTGCAAAACACACAGTAGCAGCATCGCCCCCTCCTGCGAAAATAATTGGCAGGACCCTCCTGAAAGAGAGGGTCTTGAGACTTGGTGAGACTCTCCTGTGTAAACAAGCTTCATCGCAATAATAACTATACGTCCACGTACATATATGGCAATTGGTATATGTTATATATTCATAATAAAGGCTTTTGGGTTAGATCGCGTGATTCATAAATGTGTTGCAACCTTCCACCATCCGACACGGCCAATCAGTAAAAAATGTGTCACGTTGACAAAAGACAATTAGTTCACTACTTTAGCCAACCGGTGTGTTGAAGAGTGGATCCACAACATTTACAATTTGAGTAGTACGACGTTTCGCTGGAAATTACATCTAGCATCTTCGGGCGATTTGCCAGAATAGTGAAGCCATCCACGTGCTTCCTGTCTTAAATAGTGCAGGATTACGTCATCATTGCTGAACCCCATCAGGATTCGAGATCAGAGGCGGAGGTGGGGGTGTATGCAATTATGTAATAGATCAGCAGCAGCCACTTCGAATGTGACTCACCTGTAAGGAATTGCAATATGTGTTGTGTATTACTTAATAATACGCTTCCTGGCTGCACTGAGCCTGCAGCTTTCACAGCAGTTGAAATTATTTGAATTCTTCTCAATTTCGATTGATTCTCTAACTAGTCATGGCCAGTAATAATTAATTATGCATAACACTTCAACGTTATCAAAACCAATTGAATGTCCTTGTTGGCAAGCATGCTCTGCCACTGCTGACAAGCTGTGTTTGGGTGAATTTAATGTTCCTTTGGTATTCTTTCAGTCTTACGCTAATGCTACGTCCCGTCTGTCCAATATAATACTTGCCGCATAAGCAATTGATCCGATATAAACCTTGTGACACATTTTTTACTGATTGGTCGTGTCGGGTGGTGGAGGATTGCGACACATTTATAAATAACGCGATCTAACCCAAAAACCTTTATTATGAAAGCCTACGTGTTAAACTGTACGTTATTTTTTTTAATTAAAATATAAACAAGCTAGTTGATGAAACCTGTCTTTGCCAGGCAAAAGTTTTCAATAAATGTGTTGTGCAGTACAACAACACAGAGACGAGGAATACTCGAAGGGCTGTTGCTGTTTATTAAAACACTCCCACACTCGGCATCCCACACTCACACCAGTGTAGGTGCACTCTCTCTCGGTCCTTCACCTGGACACTGAATACTATTTTGACCCTACCCTCGACTATCCCTTTGGCTCTCTCACTCGTCTGCCCGGAGCGGGGGATCAGCCAACACCGCTCCGTGACGAGGAGAGAGAGACCCTGGTCCTCTACCCTACTCTTTTACTCCGGCTATCCCTTTGGCTCTCTCACTCGTCTGCCCGGAGCGGGGGATCAGCCAACACCCCTCCGTGACGAAGAGAGAGAGACCCTCTTCCAGCCGGTCCTTACCCTGGCTCCCAACTACGACCACGCCCCCGTCACGTGGTCCCCCTTAACAACCCCTTGGGCGGCTCCTCCCCCCATCTCGGCCCCGCCCACGTTCCCCGAAAGTGCTTTCCCAAAGCCCCTTGCATAACCCGTGACGTTACGTCATCCTTGACTCTCAACCCGCTCGCCCCCTCATTGATTACTCACAATACTCCTCTACAAATATAATAATGAACCTGGCATGATTTTATTTTTACAATTTGTATCTACGATCAGACACTAACAACTACTTCTAAAATTTGTTTTTTTTTGTGCAAAGAAACTAAAATTGTTGACGACTTGTCAACTCTCAATTTAAAGATTAGTTTTTTTATTATAAAGAACAAAAAATATTGAACTCGATACTCTTGAGGGAAGCTCCTATCTTTTACCGTTTTCGAATTATTCATATTTGAACATAAAATACGTATTTTTTCGTTCAAAACCGCTTGAATCCGAAATATTTGAAAGACAATTAAAAAAATAGAACAATGGTTTTTGCTTAAATTTCATTTGCTGTGTAACGCTCTATACAACGAAAAAAACCGCAATATTATATTTTAAATGGTTTCTGAATGATACGCACAAACATGTTTATGGTGCACTAAAAATCGAGATTTGGGGACCTTAAAATAAAAAATATCGGATTTTCACATTTTTCTCACTTTTTTGCATCCTAAAAGCTACCTATGTACCAAATGTAAGCTTTCTACATTTTACGGAAGAATCCTAGATGTTTTTGAGATGTACGGATTCAGGTCTTTATATACATATGTGCCTAGTTCCCGGTAACAATGTCTGGTTTGGAAATCGCAAGGGAGTGCTGACATGTTTGTGAATGTCAAACGAATCGAGGATTTATCTTCTTCAGTGCTGACACAGCCATGTTTGTGTTCAGTGCCTGTGGTGTTTCTCCAACAACTCGTGCCTGGACTACCCCGTGAAGACCATCCTGCCCTCCTCTTCAGTGTGCGCGCTCTCCAAGGCCCGCTGGGGCGTCTGCTGGGGTACGGTGCACATACACATGGTCGCTACCGAATGCATCGGCCATGCATTCACACGGTCGCTACCGAATGCATCTGCCATGCATTCACACGGCCGCTACCGGATGCATCGGCCGCACATTCACACGGTCGCTACCGGATGCATCGGCCACACATTCACACGGCCGCTACCGGATGTATCAGCTGCACATTCACACAGCGCCGATTAGTAAGAGTGACCCGATTCTCACGATGGAATTTCGAGGTGGTTTCCTCCTGTTTTGTCAGAAAAAACTGCAGAAATATTGTTTCCGCTTTTTCCACTGAGCTATTGACCTTATATGCTATAATGCCGAACCCTGAGGAGATGTGGGTTTCAATTCTCATTTGGTTCTTAACCAAAGAAAGGCTCTGTTTTCACTAGAATGCCTCACCAATGGTGACCAAGCAAATAGGCGTATGATGGGCAACAGATTTGAAATGAAACCACAGAACTTTTAGGATATCATTCATACATCGTCATCTATATGTGGCCGTGACATGGGCTAGCTGTAGTGCATTCGCTGCTCTTTGCAGAGCTTCACGGTTCAAATCCAGCAGCCTCCCTGGTTATTACTGTGGGTATAATAACCGTAAAATCACTACATTAAACATCCCGTGAAGTCATTTGCAAGATTAGGCCATTGTGTGCCGGCACCACGGTCCAAATTTTAAAAATTACACCGCAAATTGTAAAACACACAGCAATCATCAACCCCCAATCTGTGAAAACTTGGCAGGATCCTCCTGAAAAAGTCGTGACACTCAGAGGGAGGCTTTCCTGGGTAAACAAGCGTAGTAATACAAATGATGATAATATATATTGCACATTCCATAAAAAAATATGTTCACAAAGCAAACCTTATGATACAAATGTAAGTGATAGTATTACATTGCATGGTGCATTAAAGTCAAACTAAAACTTGATATAACTAAACCTTCGTAACATCAGCGTGCACTGTCTTGGCCTTGTGGGATGGCTTAGGCATATTGTGTTTACACGTTCATTAATGTGAGCGAGATCCGATTGGAAACGCCTCTGATATGCAAATCATGTTTGTGGTTGCTTATATCAAGAGTATTCGATTGTCTCTACTTGCAATCTGTAACAAAAAAATTAAGAAAAGGAGTGTTTACTTACTGAAAAGAAACATCAGCCTCATGTAGACAACCCCTCAACGTTAATACATACCATTTGCAAGGTGCAGCGCAGCAAAGACCAGCTTTGTTTTCATTAGTACTTATCAGCACGCCTTACTATGTTACACAATTGCTTATTGCATTCCTGAATGTTCACGGCAGCCAACCTGAATGCATTGGGGTGTGTTGTAATGTATACCGGTGCATTAGGTAACTCCGTGCTCCACAACGGACACCGTATCATTACACGCCCAGTGTCTCTACAGCGGGCAAGCCCCCCTACCTTCTTTCTCCTCCATTGAAATGTAACGCACACATTGAGTGTGTGTTACGTCTGTGAAAAATAGCTTTATAGCTCATTTCATTCCTCCAGTATAAATAAATATTCTTATGCTGGTTCTGAGTGTCCTGAAACAATGAATGTTGCTCGGCAGGGGAACTCCCAGCCCTTCTACAAGCGAGGCAGCATTTGCACACCTGACAACTCCAAATTCCATCTGTGGAACAACATGTTGATTGGCAGATAAGCAGGTAGTGCGTGGGGGGAGGATCGCCGCTGTGTTGTGATGGCGTATGCTGCCGACGTGTGTTGCCCCTTTTGCAGTGAACTTTGAGGCTCTGATCATCACCATGTCTGTGGTGGCCGGCGTGCTGCTGCTTGCGATGTGCATCTGCTGCTACTGCTGCTGCTGTCGCGAGAGCAAGAGTTCCAAGCGGTGAGGCTTCCCTGTTTCTCTACTAAGGACTACACACAACAACAACAACAATAATAATAATGCACATTAATACAGCGCCATACAAGTTCCAGTGGCATTTGCCAGGCCGTTGGTCATTTTAAAAATGGACGAGTGAACGCGCTGGCCAGAACAGGGGCACCGTGGTGGCTAGGAGATGTTAACTACCTCGCCTGGTATACAGGAGGTCGTGGATGACCATTTCTGTGCAGAAATTGGACTGCCAACCCCATGCAGTCTGTCTCATTGGTGATCTTACTGGCCACTTGGTTACGTGCAAAAACATTGAAACTTGCGATGTCACACTACAGTAATATATTCAAATAATAATTTTGAGATCTGGCAAATTCGCTTAAGCTGAAATTATATAATAACACCATAGTTCGTAAATTCATACCATGCGTGTCACAATATCCGGATATTGATTAGCCACAGATAGGAACTGATTCTAAGATTGGTCTTATCTCTTTCTTAAACCTTGGGGTGCAGTTGGTCTATGGCTCTGCGGTATCCACAGGACAGGGTTGCAACAATAGATACTTGAATCCATCTGTGTGGATCTTTCAGTGTTATCCTGTTGTATGTGTGGGGATTTTACGGGAATTCCAGGTTCCTCCCATGTGCCAAACATTCACAAACGCAATTGGTGATATATCCTGTTGCAGTTCCTGTTGTGAAAAATATGTCCTGAGGCTCGGTGAGGCGTTCCTGGGTAAATCAAGAGCATGACTGCTATTAGACCCAACCGAAAACATTTACAAAATGCTGTTATCTTGTAGATTGGTACTCAATCTTGGTGTCACTGCTTGTCAGATATTAATTTGAAGCTTAATTAATTACAGCATTTTCGTGATGTCATTCCACCGACCGTATTGAAATGTATTGTAGTTCCATTTCTCTCTTGTTTACCAATCATCAGCCGCATGCAGTGTGTAATTACTTCATTTGTATTAGCATGGAGAGGACTGGGAAAACGTGGAAATGTGCACCGTGGTATGAGGACGGGCACTTGGGAAACGCTGCTCGCAGAATCAGAATCTTAATTTGCACTGGAGAAATCCGATGAGCTATAAAGTTATTTTTCGCAGATGCCCAGACGGGGCGGGTCAGAAAGTTACAACAACAAACGATACAACGAACGATTAGAGTACAAAGTCTAGGAAAGGAAAGCAAAGCTCTAAAAATAAATACGTGAAATCAATTTAGTGTTTAAGTTCAAAATTGCCTAATTACACCAATTCCCAAGCTTGGGCATGGCAGCAAAACTACAGCAAGAACAGTCCCAGAACAACAATCTTGACCAATGTCACCCATTAACAGCCGTTTACAGTCATTGACCCAGCACTCATTAATCCCCTCCCACGTTGTGCAAAAGCGCAGAAGCGTGGTCACCACATCCACGCCTCTATATAAGGAACGAAACGGGAGGGCTTCTCCACAAATCTGGCTGTCGCCTGATGAAGCTAGTTGTAATTACTGGCCAAACGTCGTACTCAGATTGCAAATGTTGTGGCTTGGCCCTCCAACACAGCGGTGTGCTGTACTAGTATACTACACTATACACTACATTATCCACCTTACACTGCACTATACACTAGTGCTGTACTAGTGGCGAATTGGCCACGTTCTGTTTAGACGACAACCCTTACTAGTTGGCTGTGTTGGGTGGTGACGGGTTTTAACGACACATTTATATATTTACCCAATCTAACCCAAAAAAAAAAACCTCTTATGAACCCAGGACTAGTGTCATCCGTATTGAATGCTTTCGGCAAGATGTAGCCCGTTTAAGAAATGCTACACAATACCTTGATGATGTTATGGGCAGACAGACGCCCACAATCACCTAATGATGAAGTTGGCTCAAGACGTCACTGTCATGTGGGGTTGGGTGACCTTTGCGGGTGGTTGTTTATGCGTTGCGAGTTAGTGTGGGAAGCGCGAGTGAGTGTGTGTGTGTGCAGTGTGTGTGTGCGGCGTGAGTGAGTGTGTGTGTGTGCAGTGTGTGTGAGTGAGTGTGTGTGCAGTGTGTGTCTGTGTGTCCGGCGTGAGTGAGTGTGTGTGTGTGCGGCGTGAGTGAGTGTGTGCAGTGTGTGTGTGTGTGCAGCGCGAGTGAGAGTGTGTGTGTGTGCAGTGTGTGTGTGTGTGCAATGTGTGTGTGCGGCGTGAGTGAGAGTGTGTGTGTGCAGTGTGTGTGTGCAGTGTGTGTGTGTGCAGTGTGTGTGTGTGCGGCGTGAGTGAGTGTGTGTATGTGTGCGGCGTGAGTGAGTGTGTGTGTGCGGCGTGAGTGAGTGTGTGCAGTGTGTGGTGCAGTGTGTGGTGCAGTGTGTGTGTGTGTGCAGTGTGTGGTGCAGTGTGTGTGTGTGCATCACGAGTGAATGAGTGAGTGTGTGTGTGTGCGGCACGAGTGTGTGAGTGTGTGTGCGGCACGAGTGAGTGTGTGTGTGCGGCACGAGTGTGTGAGTGTGTGTGTGTGCGGCACGAGTGAGTGTCTGTGTGTGCAGTGTGTGAGTGTGTGCAGTGTGTGTGTGCGGCACGAGTGAGTGTGTGTGTGTGCGGCACGAGTGAGTGAGTGTGTGAGTGTGTGCAGTGTGTGTGTGCGGCACGAGTGAGTGAGTGAATATGTGTGCGGCACGAGTGAATGTGTGTGTGTGTGTGTGCGGCACGAGTGAGTGTGTGTGTGTGCGGCACGAGTGAGTGAGTGTGTGAGTGTGTGCAGTGTGTGTGTGCGGCACGAGTGAGTGAGTGAATATGTGTGCGGCACGAGTGAATGTGTGTGTGTGTGCGGCACGAGTGAGTGTGTGTGTGTGTGTGGCACGAGTGTGTGTGTGTGTGTGGCACGAGTGAGTGAGTGTGTATGCAGTGTGTGTGTGCGGCACGAGTGAGTGTGTGTGCAGTATGTGTGTGTGTGTGCGGCACGAGTGAGTGAGTGTGGCGTGAGTGAGGGGCAGCGAGTTGAGCATGCGCCTTGTGTGGCTTTCTAGAGCGCGGCAGCTGGAGAAAGAGAAGGCTACCCGGGAAAAGGCCGATCGGGTGGTGCGCATTGAAGAGCGGTGAGTCTTCCACGTTCACACGCGGAAACGATCATCGGATGTTCGTTAGCGCTCGGGTGGCAGGGTGGCGCAGTGGTAACAGTCGTGCCTCGCAGCAAGGACGACCTGGGTTCGATTCCCGACTCGAGTGCCTTGCTGCGTGGAGTTTTGTACGTTCTCCTCTTGTTAAGCAAGCTCTTCCTCCCATGGTGTTGGCCAAAAATCCCAATGTGAAAAAAACTCACCTGCAAATTACTCAATTGGGATTGTGCGTTACAATAGCCGCCCCCAATTGTGAAACTACTGCAGACTATGTCTCCGAAACACAGCTCCTTGCTCCGTGATAGCCTTAGACCCTCAGAATAGTTTCGTTTATTTAGTTTAGCCAGGTGAAAACTCAAGAGACCAGGATAGATTCATTTGCTGCAGTGATCTGGGTCGCCAAAATTGCAAAAGCAAAACAAATAAAATTAATTTTGATTTAAAGCTTTCATGACTGCAGTGATTCATATTCATGGTTCTTTCGGTAAAGTCACGTTGAAGGGAAGCAATAAAATAATAAAATATATATAAAACAATAAAATTATCACGACGTTTCGACTGCAACACAGGCAGTTATCAGGTAATTTTATTGTTTTATAGATATTATTTTATTTTATTGTTTCCCTTCAACGTGACTTTACCGAAAGAACCAAATAAAATAAAATGCAGCAGTGCAGTAAATGGGAATCGGAACAAAAACCAAAACTACTCTCGTGAAGAAACGGTGTAATAACCTCGCCTACTAAGTTGGTACGGTATGCGCGGTCATCACTTCCCATGGAAGGTGATATCACGCAAACTCCGGTCATCCTTGCAGCGGCTTTTGGCTATTCACCAAATAAACACGGTCACTCCATCGCGCTTCTGCGGCCGTCCTGTGTTTCCTACCCAGTAAAACCTTGGATTGCGAGCATAATTCGTTCCAGAAACGTGTTTGTAATCCTAAGCACTCGTATATCAAAGCACTCGTATATCAGTTGTGATCACGTGACGCTCGGCAGACAAAGCGTATACGTACACTACTCGTATTGCAAGACCTCGCTCGTTTAACAAATTAATATTTATTTTAAAAAATGTGCTCGTCTTGAAAAACACTCACAGACCAAGTTACTCGCAATTCAAGGTTTTACTGTATTAGGAAGTCACTGGAGCTATGCACTTTTGAATTTAGATTGAAAACTAATTTGTGTAGAACTGCTTTTTGTCTTTAGTTTGTTGTCCTTCCCCCACACCTCCGATTAGCAAAGTTAGCTACATATGGTGCGAAAAAAAGTTCAACATATCACATTTCTTCACCTTGGCAAAAGTTCAGAAAATTGTGTCAGCCTCACTGCGGATTTTTTGACAACATTCAGGTTGTATCATGTGACTGAGAGCATCAATGTCTTCCAACAGGAAGGTGGAACGGAAGGCCAGGAATGATGAAATTCGCAAGAAATATGGTGAGAAGCGATCTGATATGCATCTTAAATTATTTAACAATCCTTAATACTGTTTTGTAGTTCATAATATACTCTCGCATATCTTTCAGAAAAGCAAGCAGATGGTTATGGCTTATTGTTGGAGACAGCATTTTCTGTCCATAATACATTAAGATATTTTGAAAAGAGGCATAGCAGCTTTTTTGGAAAAAAAGGCTACTTGCTTGACATGTTAGCTTTATGTGTACTGCAGTGATAACGTAGTGTGAATGACAAGTCTATAACAGGGTTCTTCATCTGGCAGTCAACCAAGAGACATGGCTTGCCAAGACAAAGAGAAACAGATTAGCAAAATGAAAGTGTACTAAACAAGAGATAGGAGGTGCTAAAGCTGTCGACGAGTGATACTGATTGTGAGGTCAAGGCAAAGATCATCACGATAGAGATTAGAGAGCGGAGGACAATGCACCCATTCATGGTCGCATGCGCTGGTTATTGCACACAAAGAACATGCGGAAATAGTTTGAAAGTGCAAAGTAGCATTCAGGGATGCATGCTAGGAAGTACACTTGAGAAACGGGAAGCGCAAGACATGAATCAGAGCAAACACAAGTTGAAGACATTGACTGCGAGGGAAAGTAAGTTGAGCTTTTGCAGGATACGCCGCGAGGAGGGATGATGGCCGGTGTTCGAGGCTAACGATGGAATCGCGGCCAAAGTAGAGAACTCGCCCAGGAGACTGACAACTGTGGAGCTGTTGCGATGAAACCAACTCCTGTGCAGAAGCTTGATGGCGTGTGTTGCATCGTGTGACGTTGAAGGGTTGCGACGGCTTGCGAGAGGCCTTCATCCAGCACTGCGTGACGATGCACAGCCGTTGTGATGTCACGACGCCATGCAACGTCACAGCGCCCGTACACGCGACGCCGTGACGTTAAAAGACATCTCGCGACTTGCGCTGTTGCGTGGCCCCGCTTACACTTACGCTGCTTTTATTATTTGGGCCTGTTAGACTGTATCATTGAAGAACCCTGTATGGACTATTATCAGGCTCTGCTGCTACGACCGGTGCCAAAGAAGTCTGAGGCATTTGCTTTTGAAGGTAGCTGCGTGGTATGCGTACGAATGCTCTTGCAGGCATTAGATCTGGTAGTGCAAAAACAAGTGACAATTGGTCAGATAACCCCCAAGGCATTTGTGTACGAACGCCTTCATTCAGCTGCTGGTTGAAAAAGACTATTAATGAGAATTGTTTTTTTTACCCTTTAATCTGGCAACAAAACTCACACCTTTTTTGACAAGGAGTCATGTTTACATTGACCACAATACCTGCGGTCAGAACGCAAACAAAAAACAACAACTCTGATAATGTATGTGGCACTGTCCTTGAAATTGATTGGTCCACACCCGAGACAGCTTTCTTTAGAGCCTCGTACTCACATGGTGTTGGACCAGAAGACGCCAAAAGGCGCACAACTCAAAGGCAATGCACCATCAGAGTATGAGAGCTCGGGGTAAGCATGTACACCATTGGAAACCTCATTTGCCAGTAACAAAATATGATAATTGTTTTTTTACCCTTTAATATTTTGTTACTGGCAAATGAGGTTTCCAATGGTGTAAAGACTATTAATGTTTAGGTGTATTAAGTGAATATTATTGTCATCGATGGGCTGATTGCATACCATATATCAAACAACATCTCGATTGTTGATGACTATGCGCACAACCCTCTGGAAGCCTTTGCTAACCTTGCGTGCTGTGTGTCGCCCACAAAGGCCTGTACACGGAGGACAACGCTTACACACGGTTCGACAACTAGTGACGTGGCCAGCCTGAGCAGCATCAGCAGCTTACAGGGCTCCACCCACAGACACACACATTCCACACTCCGCTCTCCAGGGCTGATAGGCTGGGCACAGCACTAATCCTAAAACACACGCAGGCCACGTACTAATGTTACTCTTATTAAAGTACATTGACATTTTTTGAGCAAAAAAAAAAGGCAGAAGTAATCGATGATGCCATTTTTCGTGAAATTATTATGGTGGTGGTTCAGTTTGTACATTTGGCTTTTTGATGAATCTCTGCTTGTCCTTAATTCTTTGTTCTATTAAATTTCACTTTGGTAGTGTATTGTCTTATTAATGTATTCCTCTGTTTTTAACATTGTTACAATGCAATTAAAGGTTCTAACTCAAATGAGCTGACTTCTATTGTCATTGTAAGTGAGAGCCTCAACTGAGAACACAAGTAACCATGGGGGGAAAGTGTCAGCAGCGTAACCCTCCGCAAAGTATATCTCGTATTCTTGGTTCTTTCGGTAAAGTCACGTAGAAGGAAAACAATAAAATAATAAAAATAAAATAGTAAACATTTCTTGTTGTGGTTTTCACACCTGATGATGATTGCTTGTGTTGCAGTCGAAACGTCGTGAGAATTTTATTGTTTTATGTTTTTATTATTTTATTGATTCCCTTCTACGTGACTTTACCGAAAGGACCAAGAATATGAATCCCTGCAGTCACGAAAACTTTAAAACAAAAGTATATCTCACTTGTTTTTTTCCAGAAATCATTAGATTGTTCCATTAGCCAAAGTGCGGTGACCCCCAAGGTTCAGTGATGGACGGACGACGACAACAACAACCAGGACTTTATTACACGATGAAGCCATAATTGATGTCATTCTGCTTTTGGAAGTAACACGAAAAATTTAGATTACATTTTTTCTTAACCAAAATAGTGACATAACCATTTATTTAATGTGGAGCCAGTTGAAATGGATGAACACCAACACTGAGATTGTATTGAGTAGCAAAGGACAAATCTGCAGTTGTCAGGATATGAGATATGCCCTTGTCAAGGCTATTCACAGTAAAATAAGATATATTCTGCAAAAACACAAAGATGGCATTAACAATCTCAGATTATAACCAATGGAAACAAACCACGGGAAATAATTTGCAGGAATTGAAGACGGTTGCAGAGTTAAGCCTGAAGATACATTTGAGCAAAATGTAAGTTGTGCAAAACAAGTTTGCTGAACACAAAACAATGTTTGGAGGGGCACCGCTGGGAAACAACAGAAAACTCAAAATGGGTTCGAAAACAACTAGGATCATGTACAGGATGTGGAGCTTGAATGGACTTGCCGGTGATTGGTACCAGCAGTGTAAAGGACGCTCATGATGGAAGCTACTGGGCAATTGGAGGGATTTGCCCTCCCCCTCCCCCCCAACAGTGGAGGAGCAACGCTCATCACGAGTGGAAGGCCGGGCAGTTAAAACACAGCAAGTTGGCACAGTAAGCAAAAGGTGGTGCATCTGCCAGTCATCTCGGTCAACCATATCACCTGGGCCTGTCCTGTGACCTCCTGCCAGCGAGCTTTCCGCACTTAACATCATGGCCTCATCGTGCACATAGCCTGGCACAAGCACAGTTAAGTGGCGAATGGCAAGTGTTTGTGTGGGGAGCTTAAGGCTAGTTCTGGTTTGATAGCGGAGGTCTCACTCCGAATCAGTAAGGCAGCATTATCTCATCGGCTGCGCAATGCTGTGTGGAGCTATTTGGTTTGCTGCTTCGCACGAAGCTTCGGGTCTTCTCGGCCACAGTGATGACCTCTCTTCTCTATGCTTGTGAAACGTGGACCCCTCAAATGGAACATCTGCGCCGGTTAGAAACATTCAGGCTGGCATGCGTACGATCCATCCTGGGTTTAACCAGGCTGGATTGTGTGAGGTGCTCATACATCGTTGAAGGATCTGGAGACATACTCATCAGCGAGCTCCTCGGGCAGGCAAGGTTGCGTTGGCTAGATCATGTTGCTTACATGCCCAGCCACAGCATGACCAAGCAGCTTCAGTTTGGCCGCATAAAGGGGGCTAAACGGGCATGAAATGGGCTGGAGAAGAGATGGACTGATGCAGTACAGGAGGATGTGGAGCTGAGTGGAATTGCCAACGACTGGTACCAGCAGTGTCAAGATCGGTCTCTATGGAGGAGGCTCGTGAAGGACGCTGCTGGGCAGTTAGAGGCAGTCGCCCTCCAGCAACAACGGAGGGCAGAGGAGCGACGCTCACAGCAATGTGCGGAGCGCCGGGCGGCTAAAATCCAGAAAGTTGGCACAGTGTGGGTGTACAGCTGGTGGTGCATCTACCGGTCATCTCAGCCAACCCATGGCACCTCGGTCTGTCCCGAGACCTGTCAGCGAGCCTTCGACACTTCACGTGGCCTCAAAGTGCACCTAGCCTGGCACAGGCGCCGCGGTGACGTCACCGTCACTTAGTGGTAAATGGCGGGTTGTTGGTATTGGAGCGGGAGTTCAGAGGTTAGTATGCTTCACGATGAATCCGGCAACCCGAGTTCTATTCCCGCTCCCAGACATTGTTGGTAGCATATCTAAACTGGTCCTGAGCTTCCACTAAGGGGCCGTCCATAAATGACGTCACGCACCTAGGGGAGGGGGAGGGTCAGACATTTGTGACGAAGGGGGGGTTTGAGTAATGTGACGTCACATCGAAATTCGCAACTTTAAATAAATATAGACAACACGTTCTACTTAATTAAATTGACTTTAATAAATGTTTTCTCCTACAACATCAGAGTGCCACGCCACATTAAATACGCACTACAATGACAATACAGTATTTACACCATTGGAAACCTCATTTGCCAGTAACAAAATATGATAATTGTTTTTTTACCCTTTTATCTGCCAACAAAACTGAAACCTTTTTTGACAAGGAGTCATGTTTACATTGACTACGATACCTGCGGTAGGAACGCAAACAAAAAACAACAACTCTGATAATGTGTGTGGCACTGTCCTTGAAATTGATTGGTCCACACCCGAGACAGCTTTCTTTAGAGCCTCGTCTCACGTTGGTGTTGGACCAGAAGACGCCAAAAGGCGCACAACTCAAAGGCAATGCACCATCAGAGTATGAGGCTAAACAATACTGTTACAATATACAATTGTACGTATGTCGGGCGTCTTCCTCGCTGCATGTACAGTAGCCAGCCATGCTAATCAGAGGTGCGTGGGAAGGACAACAAACGAAACGCACAAAGCACTTCTGGAGAAATTATTTTTCAATCTAGATGCTTTAAAAGTACGTAGCTCCAGTGGCTTCCGAATATCGGAAGGAAGAGCGTTCCAGACGGCCGCAGGAGTGCATCTGAAAGCGCCGCGCGATGCGGCGACCGTCTGCGAGAAAGACTGGAGCCCTTTAGCAACGTGAACCTCTATACGGGATCAACGTGCAAAATATAAATCTTGATTTGAAGCTTTCGTGACTGCAGGAATCCACGATTGCTTGTGTTGCGATCGAAACGTCGTGATCTATTCATTTTCTACCTATGTGACTTTTACCGAAATAACCAAAGAGTACAAAATCTAAATGTTAACGTTGGATTAATGGTTCACGATATATATGAACCGTGATGGACGAAACAACGCGTGTTACACACTTCGCGCTGCAGATCAAGTTAATTTTCGTTGAAGTTAGACGAGTCTTCTCTGTGAGTGAACGCCAGTTTGAAACGCCGTGCCGTGTTTGGCACAGAGGGCGCATTCCAAATTCCAGCGGCTGAAACTGACCCGAAGAGTTGAACACATCCCTTTGTCTCGCATAATTTCATTTCAATGCTCGGCTTCTTTGGAGCCACATGATTGCAGACGCACGAGTCACGGCAGTCATGTGCCCGGTATGAATGTAGACTTCACATGAACAGTGAAGAGGGTACACAGGCCCCGTTTGTGCACTCAATGTCCCCCCCACATCGATTCGGTGTCACACGAGTGTGGCTGCTGGTGGTGTCTTCTGCTATCACTGTCAACAACTTAACCAGCATTTCTTATTTTATTTACGCACAACTTGCGACGGCGACTGATGCTTCGGCGTGAAGCCGCATTGGTGTCCGTGTGATCCACGCGTCGTGCGCTCACGAGAGCGTCAACCGCGTGTCTCGTGGCAATTGGGACCAAGGCACGAGGCGGTGATTTCATCACTCGTCTATTGCTTCTGAACCGAAATGGAAAAAATCAAGAGAAATATCACCTCTCGGCTGAGCCGCATCAGTGAGTATCGCGCAAGCCCGCTTTATGCGTTTCAAGGTGAATTGAAGTCAAATTAAACCACAGGCTGAGATTTAACATTATTGTAATTGCTCTTGCGGCTTGCAGAAACGGCAAAAGCACGATTCCTAAATTGATGTCATCATTTGACACAATCGTGTGCTTTATTTGCTTGAGCAATAACTTTAATAATGCTGCAATTATTTTTTTAAAGATGTTATCAAAAGTTTTGATTGAACACTTTTTAACATTGTTGACAACCCATTCAGACATTGTGTACGAATAACGTGAGCACGCAGCACGATCGTGATCACATTAATTACAGGCGACGAGCTTCGGAGAATTTTACTTGTACACATTTTATGAACGTTATTTTGTACAACATTAATAATTTCTACAATAGTCTAGCATGAAGGGTTTGTTTCGAGTGTTTTCTTTGCACATTTATTCCATAGCCCTTGACATCATTCATGCACGGATGCAACTTGGTGTTGCATTGAGCTAACTGCTCCTATCTAATCAGTGTTACAAGGACATTATCATAATAGGGAACAATTTACTTATACTGTGATTTGCGTGTGTGTGTTTAGATTTGAAGAGAGAACCCCAGGCATGTGAAGAGGTGATGTTCTCAAGTATTGTACAGATATCAGTGTTACATTATTTGTACACTTTCATTCAGCAATTTTCAGTTTGTAAATAGAGTAAATTGCACTCATATGATTTCCAAATACATCAACAAATGTGGAAAATAGCTTGACATGTAAGCACGGGCTGAAGCGTTATAGAAGGTGGACGATGTGAATCACGTTTCATCTTTTCTGACGTGGAACTAAAAAGCTCGACATTTTAAGCCAAGATGAGGCAATGGAAAATATGTGATGCTTAAGGCCCTTTAAACCCTATAGCCCTTTTGCGGTGTTTATGTTTGGCAAAATGACTCTGGGGTGGTCACGTTATGCAACTTGTCAGGAAAATCAAGCTGCCCTGCTCTGTACGTTGAACTTCTGTCACACCGTACGTAGCCAACCGTGCCAATCGGAGGTGCGGGGGAAGGACAACAAACTAAACACAAAAGGCAGTTCTAAAGAAATTAGTTTTAAACCTACAAAAATATGTTTCGTTGACCGTGTGCAGCAGCAATCTGTGGCCGTCAGCTCCTCCAGTGTGGAGCTCACGATTTGGGCCCACACTCATCCATGGCTGCAACAAATCACTGGCTACAAATTGTCAATTATTTTCCAAGACTCCCCCTGCCAAGTGTATTTTGTCTCAGTCGAAAAGGCTCTCACCTGTGCGGTTATAAAGCTCGCGTATTATATTTGGACACACATCCATTATACATTGGTAAATAGTAAATACGTGATAAACGTGCCAAGTGTATTTTGTCTCAGTCGAAAAGGCTCTCACCTGTGCGGTTATAAAGCTCGCGTATTATATTTGGACACACACATCCATTATACATTGGTAAATAGTAAATACGTGATAAACGTGATAAAAATACAAGCGTTAAACTGCGCAGCATGAAGGTGTGCACCATCTAGTGGTGAGTAGAGGAATATAAGGGGCCTCTTCAATACAGTCCACCATAAGTGACTTACAGGTACTGTATATTTAAATGTTTCTGTGGTGTCTTTGTTGGTGTCGTTCTCCATCGTAACTTCATTACACTAATTATCAGAATATTTATTTTTAACATCTCAACTGCAATCATCACAAATAACCAGAATAATCGTGCCCACTAGCCTGGTTAACTTGAGTCTCACGAGATTTTCGGGAGGTTTGGTGCATTAGTGGGATGTGGCCAATTAATATTGTATATATCATTCCATAGTTCCATAGTTCCATAGTTCATTTATTTGGTATAGCCCTGTGAGCCATTCGGCTCTTGAATCGGGTGCAACCGCAACAAACAAAAGCATGAACAAGAAAAACATCTTAAAGTGATTATGTGACTGTGCAAACATAAAATCCAGGAAAAAAAACATCAAAATATTCCTGAAATAGCACCGTACACCAACGCCGTGTGCAAAAATCCCAGTGGGATGCAAGTCAAACAACAACAACAACAACCACAAGAAAACTAATATTAAGGCCATCAGTCTAACTCCGTACTACAATAAACAAAAACATGGCCAAAACAAAAAAAACTTTTCGAAATCACCAAAATAAAAGCCATAAATGCAATGTAACAGTGATCATAGGGACTGTGACCGAATTTTTAACAATAAACGACATGAATAAATTATAACACCAAAATCTAGAGCCATATTTAGGCCACTGAATAGCCGTGGCAGTTAGGGTTGTACAACTCCTCTAGAGCAGTTTTGAGTGAAGATCTCATAGGTAGTGATTCAAGTTGCAGTTTATTGGCAATAGCATTCCAGACCCTGGGGGCATCAATAGAAAGGCCCTTCCTCCAGTTTTTGTACGGCAATAGGGAATGTGAAGCTGGTAAATGAGCGAAGACCTGAGGTCAAATTTGTTCTTTGAAACAGAAAGGAGATCCAGTAGGTAGTCTGCGGATTTTTTTGTAAGTACACCGTGAATAAATAAGATCTGGTGCACAAGCTGTCGAACATTAAGAGATGTTAAGTTTGACCCGTGGTTTGTTGGCCGAGTGGTACAAAACAAGCCACGTGTTGCTGGTTTAGTTCACTTTTTACTGATTTAGTTGGTTGATGGCTAATAGTTGTTGATATTTTTCCACAATCTGTAATGTGAATCTGTGGATGAGGCACTGGTTTCATTGAAGTAAGTTTACGTAACTGGCCCTGGCAGGCCTGTCCTCAGCAACTTCAATTTAAATAAGCACATTAACTTAATGTCACAACAACAAAAACAAATGCATGGCTCACGGCAGGTACTGAACAAAGTATTGGTTGGTGGTGTTAATTTGGTGACACGCGCGCCCGTCTTGTACCCCAGCTGTGGGAGTCGAAGACGCTGCCCCGGAGAGGGCCCCGCGGGGGCGCGGGGGCGCGGCCGGGCCCGCAGGAGGGAGACCCCGCGGCCCTGCGCCACCACTCGGTGGCGGTACCACGGGCCTCAGGGCCCTCCTCCTGTCTAGACCCCCTCCTGCTGCTGCACGGTGAGACACCCCCTCTGGGCCCGTGAGACACCCCCCCTGGGCCCGTGAGACACCCCCTCTAGGCCCGTGAGACACCCCCTCTGGGGCCCGTGAGACACCCCCTCTGGGGCCCGTGAGACACCCCTCACTGGGCCCGTGAGACACCCCCTCTGGGGCCCGTGAGACACCCCCTCTGGGGCCCGTGAGACACCCCCTCTGGGCCCGTGAGACACCCCTCTGGGGCCCTGAGACACCCCCTCTGGGCCCGTGAGACACCCCCCTGGGGCCCGTGAGACACCCCCCTCTGGGCCCGTGAGACACCCCCCTGGGGCCCGTGAGACACCCCCCCTGAGGCCTGTGAGACACCCCTCACTGGGCCCGTAAGACACCCCCTCTGGGCCCGTGAGACACCCCCTCTAGGGCCCGTGAGACACCCCTCACTGGGCCCGTGAGACACCCCCTCTGGGCCCGTGAGACACCCGCTCTGGGGCCCGTGAGACACCTCCTCTGGGCCCGTGAGACACCCCCTCTGGGGCCCGTGAGACACCCCCCCTGGGGCCCGTGAGACACCCCCTGGGGCCCGTGAGACACCCCCTCTGGGCCCGTGAGACACCCCCTCTGGGCACTCAGGCTCAGCTCACGCTTGAGCCGCTCAGTTGCGTTCAGAGCCGCACGAGGGAGCGGCTCAGCCATGGCCTGGCTCAGATTCAGCCCATGGGACCCATGGGCTGAGCTCGCCTGTGAACATGCTCAGAGCTTCTCAAGCGCCGCAGTGGCTCTGAGCCGGCTCTCTTGAGGTCAGAGCCGAGCCGTGTTTGTACGGCTCTTAGCCGTGACGTGGGCAAGGAGGCCCTCATTCAGCAGCTGATTGATAAAGGGCCGTGAATTATGTATTTGCCACGTATAAACTTGTACTGTATATATTACCCTCTTGGCATGTTCATGGCATTTGTAGTCTGCTGAATTTATTTGTGGATTTGTGTGTATCTGCCACGTTTTCCCCATTGTAAATTAAGTGCTGTGTATTATTGCTCCTGGATTTATTTATTACGCAACTTGATATATTTGAAGCCATACGTGTGTGTGTTTCTATGGATATTCGAATCGGGTTTTCCTCTGCATTACCGGTAACCGAAAGGGGTAACCAGCCTAAAACATTGTTGCGATTGGTAAAATGGTAGCGCCTCCAAGTGGATACAGGAGTCACAACATCCCAGGATTACTTTGTCCCCCCCTTAAACAAATTGCACACCAAGTGTCAGAAACGATGTTCATGCACACGTGGATGCAACGTCGTCACCACTAGATGGTGCTAGTGTGGGATAGAAGCATCGAGCGCAGTAGTTCTTCACCTGGCGTGCACGCGCCCCCTGGTGCTGCGAGATGCCCTTGGGGGGCGCGAAACATGGCCAGAATCTTTTTTAGAAGGTACATAATTGAAAACACAAATTAATCACGGGCGCATAAGTAGAACAACCCGATGTATTTAATCACATACATTTTTTTTACTCTTTGGGTCTTTCGGTGAAGTCACGTATTATTTTTCCATCTACGTGACTTTACCGAAAGACCCAAAGACTATGAATTCCTGCAGTCACGAAAGCTTTAAGTCAAGATTTATACGTTTTTTATGGTTAAGAACCACAGGGGTGCAAAGGCTGCAGTGAAGGTTAAGAATCACTGATTCTACCGATAATGTTTACTGAGCATTCATTTACGAATAAAGTGATTGGAGTGGTCTCCACGGATCTGGAAGCCTTGGGGAAGATCAGACCCAAGAGCAGATGGTGGTAGAATGTGAGTCGTATGGATCTCTGTGTGAGTCTGTGGCTCTGTAAGTCTGCATTTCTGTGAATCTAATAAGATCAGATAGGGGGAGACTGTGAGAGTAGAACTTGGAGATCGCATGTCAATTGTGCAGAAGATGTGGAATCCGGCGGATGGGAGAAAGCCTTGGCAATGAGGTGTGGCGGTGGTGACATCAATGGCTTTACTAATAATCGGCTCTTGATCTTGACCAATAAATCAGAGTGGGGACTACAGGGATAAACTTTATATTGTTGTTAACTTTAGGCAATCATATACAGTTATTATGTTTGAAGAGAGACAATGGAAACGTCTCGGTTGTTACGGCATTGCAAGACTAGGGTTAAGTAACTAGGAATTTCAGAGGACGAGTTTTAAGGATAACTTTCGAGTTTAGAGCAGCAGCAGCTGCACGATAGAGTATAATGAAGGGAGTGATGGTGTGGTATGGTGGCAAGAATAGTATTGGTTGTGATGGCTTCTTGACTTGACCTTGACTTGACCTTGAATTGACCTTGACTTGACCTTGTTATGAAATATTAAAACACCACAAACAGAAGCTGGGATGTTAGCGTGGTGACGATGCATTTGTTCACCACCACAAAAGGCTGCAATTTGCGAGATGAATCCAGTGACTCAGAGTGGGTGGAAAATTACTTTTGGATATGTTTCACTCCTCGGTAGTTATAGAAGTGCAGTGTAACAGAGCGTTTGTGTGTTAGATTGTGAACCCAGCACCTCCAAGGCCCTTGAGCATGTGGCGGGAGTCAATACGTCAAGCAACGCGCAGCATCCCCACGTTGGCCCGGTAAACAAATCGAATGTTGTTTTTGTATTGTTTGTTGTAACTTTCTGACCCACCCCGTCTAGATATCTATGAAAACGAGCTTCATAGCTCATTAGATTATTCCATTCTAAATACAAATTCTGATGTTTTATTCTCTCACGTCATGGTTGCACAATCGATACACAGTTACATGGCTCTAATGTTTTTATTTTAAAACTCACAACCAGCTGAAAGCCAAACTTGACAATTTATTCAGTTCTGTAATAATAATTGCAGTTGCAATTTTTTAGTTTTAACTGCCAAACAACTTTTACCCTAAATGTACAATGTTGTGTACTGCATTAATCTACAATAAACGTTATTAAATCAGTGTTCAGGCTCTTCCTGCATGGGGGACTTATTAGCCCACGCAATCCTCGCCTCATCTCCCATTACTCAAGTTATTGGCCAGAAAATCCAGAGTATGATCCTCTTGGCAAATAGCCTCTGAGGTTTACTGATGCCCTCTTGAGTACTGTATTATTAGTATTATGAATTATTGTCATAGCTGAATATATTAAAAAAAACAAAGTTTTACTTGTTTAAAAAAAAATTACAATTTGCGAACACATTTGCCATGAGCGAGCACCCAAAGCCTCTCCACTCGCTGGTGAATGCAGCCCTCCCAACATCATCGCCATCGGTACACGGTCACATGTCTCTGACACCTCAACACTAATGGTGACAGGGTCCCATAGCTGTCATCGCCATCCCTCGTGGTCTTGTGATGCTGTAATCCAAATCGTCCTTTCACATGAGCTCGTCTGTGTCTCCGCGGTGGTTCTTATCTTGGGTGTGTTCCCACCTTTGGCTGCCATTATATCAACAATCTCCTTCATCACCCTTTCTAGCTAGAAGCATGCCCTTGCCCAAGCTGATTTATTTTCCTTAACAGCCAATACAATACATGTACCTTTCAATATCTTCTCTGATCCACCTGTTCATTTATTTCTGTCATTGTAATTCCCAGAAGGCATCTCTGCTTACATCTTTGCATGCTTTTCAGCTTTTGTTCTATTTTCTTTGTCACTGTCGTTGTTTCCAATCCATACGTTACAAGAGGTTTTGTGTAATCATTAAACAAGTTATTAATTGGAAATACAATACTGGAACGTAGATTTTTTTTTGTATCACATTTCCAAAAAACACTCTAACCTGCTCTTGCTCGGTTCTTGATTTCACTTATTTTTTACATCAAAGTTCAAATCACAAACTTCTTTGCAACTACATATCGCCTTACTCCGCAAGCCTGTAATCCACCACTGTGCGGGGGCAAGGGTTGGTGGGTCACACAAATTTTGTAACATCCCCTTCCCGTGGGCATCAAGGTGCCACAGCCTGGCTTGCCAGGAGAAGACGGCACAGCAAATTGCGGACTAAGATCATCTGTCCTTGCTGTATGGGATAGAGTTTTTCCCACTCCAGGTGCTCTGATTTCCACCCACATGTATAAACACTTTTAAATTGTCTGAAAACATCTCACAAATTGCCCGGCTGCCTTCCCACTTCTCTGTGGTTACTCATCGATGGTGAGATGCGATTTTCGTGGGCGACGATGCTATATAAATATAAACATGATCATGATTACCCATCGCTGGGTGTGAAATGCTATTGATGTTTTTCATATGAATATACCATCAACTTTTCAGTTCAGTTTTCTTATTTCGTGGCATGTGGAGTGTCGGGGGGGGGGGTAAGCAACAGTTTGTATAGATGTCACGGTTGAATGTTAAGGTCCTTCAACCAATCCAAGGCGGCAGTCGACGCTGTATGGACTGCAGCGATACCGCCCGGGTGTGCGTGCATGGCGCACTCGTCGGCGGAGCGTTTGATGGTTCGGGCCTCCGCCATTTATGGATCGTGTACGCACGTCTCCCGTGCTGCGTCCGAGCGCGGTTCAGCATGGTCCAGTTGAGTATTGCTGATCGATAATTCCCCGTGTAACACGATTTTTTGTTCCTGGGTAGTAAATGTTATTTTCTAATTGCTTATGCCTCAAAAGTATAGAAAATGGCTATTATTATTCCCCACAAAACTTTGCTTTTGTGACCAGGATTTTACGTGAAGGAATGACACAAATGCACACCACGTTTTCTCATTGAAAATAGGTACATTTCAAAATATCAATGTCCTGGTCACAAAAGCAAAGTTTGTGGGGAATAATAGCCATTTTCTTTATTTTTGAGGCATAAGCAATTACAAAATAACACTTACTACTCCGGGAACAATTTTTTTGTTTGTTGCACAGTGAATTATAATGGCCAACGGAAGCTAGTAACACTCGTTTATTGGCACACAACAGGCTGCTGGCAGGTGCTCAAGTGGCTATGCCCCCCGACGGTCGCTGGTACGGGTTAATCTACGGGTTAATCACAGTGTGGACTCACGGAGCGTCCTCGTCGTGTCTCTTGTCTTCAGCCGCCACCTCGCAAGTTTGGTGGCGAGGCGCTCTACGTGAGGCTGCAGAAAATTGGACAGGGCTCGTATGCCACCGTGTTCAAGGGCATCAGCCGGTGAGGAGACACCGTGCACCGACATTATTTTGGTCACTTACAAAAATGCGTAACACGTAGGCTTTCACAGCCAACACTATGACCCATATTTGTTTTCGGTTAGGACGCGTAGCCCAATTCTCAAACGAATATGCATGATACAAAAATAATAACCAAAAATGTTTTCCAGAAATAAAATTATGGGTCCAAACAAATCACGTTTAACTAAGGGTTTCCTTCCATAAATCCCATCACGTGTTGGATTTCTAAAGCGTGTAAATGCAACCATATCTCAAGGCACGATATGAAGAGGGAAAACAAGCCCATCTAGAGAGTGTGAAGAGGCGTTTGGTAGCAGGGAATGAGGGGATAGATTCTGATTCCGAAGTTAACGGCTTCAGGGGTGGGGAAAAGTCCAAGCGGCCGTGCGTTCACCGCTAAGCTGCAGAGGTTTGTGGCGGCTATCAGCTGTAAAAAAACACAGGCCCTCTGCTTCATAGCAGACGTTACCGATCCTGTGACGTTTTACTGAGAGAGAGAAGGAGGAGTAGGCCATGTGTTCCAGCGTCATTGTCCAAATATGTCCCACTTGATATCAAATAAACAACAAATATCGCCTATCACTTAATTGGGAAAACAACATAAGAATAATCAGCCTTGATTTTCAGGCCTGATGAAAGGGGAGAGAGATATAATCGTTGAGTAAAAACGCGTTGAGGGCATGGATAAGCGTCCACGCAGCAGGGGAGGAGGGGGCATTAAAGTACGTTGCGCAGACAGAGGTTTGAGGTCCTGCACAGTTGGGATATGCGAGAGGCAATCGAGAGCCCAGGATTGGTGGTGGCTTCAAGGTTTCAGACCGTCTGCCGGCGCGATGTAGAAGTTTAGAAGGCGCACGCATGAACTGAAGTATTTCCTGAGTGCGTACTGGTTAATCCGGAGAGAGTTCTTACCCATCTAGGGTGAGACTGCTTCATGGCAAAATGCAGGAGCAGGGCCAATGACAATGTAGAGCTGGGTGTCATCAGTAGAGACATGATGGCCATAGTTGAAACTGTAGACGGTTTTGCCAAGTGGCTGGAGATATATTGAGGAAAGCTAAGGGCCAAGACCAGAACCTTGTGGAACACCATTCCAGAGTGATTTCTAAGCATAAGACAGCCTTTGAATGGAGACATAAACGCAGTGGTTCGAGAAGTAAATACCATTTAAATGTGACATCCAATAATGGACGTTTTACGTTGTAACGTTGCTGCCACTTGCTGCAAGTGCTTGTAGTAGTGCCCCGCGTGTGTGTTGTCCCACCGCAGTGTGACGTGGCAGTTCGTGGCTCTCAAGGTGGTGTACATACACGAGGAAGAAGGGGCTCCCTTCAACACCATCCGTGAGGGTGAGTGGCCACTACTTTGCTTCTTCAACACAGTGCAATTTGTCATCTACAAAGCATCTTCACGGCCATGCACACATCTCAAGATGCTGTACGGATAGAGGAGGGGGCAAACGTGCATCTGGAGATTTTGAAGGAGAGCTGGGGGGGGGGGGGGGCATTCAGTGCAGGAAATGAGTTGTACAATGTGGCAGGCCAGAGGAGAGTTGAGATGACATAATCCAGCACGGGTTTTTATTTATTTTGCCAGCAACCATGAGACGGGGCTACTTCGCAGTGTCACTATGTGTCTGCTGTCCAACACATACAGTGAGGGAAAAAAGTATTTGATCCCCTGCTGATTTTGTAAGTTTGCCCACTGACAAAGAAATGATCAATCTATAATTTTAATGGTAGGTTTATTTGAACAGCGAGAGACAGAATAACAACAAAAAATGCAGAAAAACGCATGTCAAAAATGTTATAAATTGATTTGCATTTTAATGAGGGAAATAAGTATTTGACCCCCTCTCAATCAGAACGATTTCTGGCTCCTAGGTGTCTTTTATACAGGTAACGAGCTGAGATTAGGAGCACACTCTTAAACGGAGTGCTCCTAATCTCAGCTTGTTACCTGTATAAAAGACACTTGTCCACAGAAGCAATCAATCAATCAGATTCCAAACTCTCCACCATGGCCAAGACCAAAGAGCTCTCCAAGGATGTCAGGGACAAGATTGTAGACCTACACAAGGCTGGAATGGGCTACACGACCATTGCCAAGCAGCTTGGTGAGAAGGTGACAACAGTTGGTGCGATTATTCGCAAATGGAAGAAACACAAAAGAACTGTCATTCTCCCTCGGCCTGGGGGTCCATGCAAGATCTCACCTCGTGGAGTTGCAATGATCATGAGAACGGTGAGGAATCAGCCCAGAACTACACGGGAGGATCTTGTCAATGATCTCAAGGCAGCTGGGACCATAGCCACAAAGAAAACAATTGATAAAACACTACGCCGTGAAGGACTGAAATCCTGCAGCGCCCGCAAGGTCCCCCTGCTCAAGAAAGCACATATACATGCCCGTCTGAAGTTTGCCAATGAACATCTGAATGATTCAGAGGACAACTGGGTGAAAGTGTTGTGGTCAGATGAGAACAAAATGGAGCTCTTTGGCATCAACTCAACTCGCCGTGTTTGGAGGAGGTGGAGGAATGCTGCCTATGACCCCAAGAACACCATCCCCACCGTCAAACATGGAGGTGGAAACATTATGCTTTGGGGGTGTTTTTCTGCTAAGGGGACAGGACAACTTCACCGCATCAAAGGGACGATGGACGGGGCCATGTACCGTCAAATCTTGGGTGAGAACCTCCTTCCCTCAGCCAGGGCATTGAAAATGGGTCATGGATGGGTATTCCAGCATGACAATGACCCAAAACACACGGCCAAGGCAACAAAGGAGTGGCTCAATAAGAAGCACATTAAGGTCCTGGAGTGGCCTAGACAATCTCCAGACCTTAGTCCCATAGAAAATCTGTGGAGGGAGCTGAAGGTTCGAGTTGCCAAACGTCAGCCTCGAAACTTTAATGACTTGGAGAAGATCTGCAAAGAGGAGTGGGACAAAATCCCTCCTGAGATGTGTGCAAACCTGGTGGCCAACTACAAGAAACGTCTGACCTCTGTGATTGCCAATAAGGGTTTTGCCACCAAGTACTAAGTCATGTTTTGCAGAGGGATCAAATACTTATTTCCCTCATTAAAATGCAAATCAATTTATAACATTTTTGACATGCGTTTTTCTGCATTTTTGTTGTTGTTATTCTGTCTCTCACTGTTCAAATAAACCTACCATTAAAATTATAGACTGATCATTTTGTCAGTGGGCAAACGTACAAAATCAGCAGGGGATCAAATACTTTTTCCATCACTGTACACACACACATATATATAGTAAGATGTGTAGTTAAGCGTTGCATTACAGATTTGTCATTCTATTGTGCAGTGATTGGTGACCGAGTTGCTGAATCCACTCAGTCGTTCTTTCAATCTTGGTTTGACCATTTAATCGCAGCGATACTGCCGCACTACGAGCACAGCCGTTAGCCCCCTGCTCACCCCGTATTACATACCCGCGAGTTAACTCGAGCACTTCCTTTACATTTTGATTTACTCTTCACCCAATTTTAAATCTAAAAGTCAACGTCAATATCGGCCGGTACGTCTTCAAAGCACAACATGGCTGTTTGATTAAAATGTAACGTGCCAGACATAGCCAGGGGCCTTAGAGGTCAGAGTGCCGAGCTGCCATTGCTAAGATCCCTGGGTCAAACGAAGCAGTCACTTGCGATTAGCACGTCTCGGCCCAGTCACTAATGACTGCACACACAAAAACAAACCCACCACATTAAATTCGGTTCTGCACTTAATTTGGCTAAATTCCTTTTCGGAGCATTACATTTCATGTTGGCCGTCATGTAGCGAACATTACTGTCAAACACAGAGTGCCTTGAAAAGGGCAGAGGTCATTTGAAGGGATCTCGGAGGTAGCTATGTGATAACCGCTTCCCTGGGCCGTTCTCTCGCACGAGGGGGTCGCAGTGCTCTGTGAGGGGGTCCAAATGGATTCTGCACCGTGTTTACATGACGCCGATAGCGCAATGGGGATGAAGCTGCGGGACAATTACATGAAGAACCCCCAGAAACCCCAAACCAACATCCTCCCCCCCCCCCCCCTCCTCAGTGTCCCTACTAAAGACTCTGAAGCACGCCAACATCGTGCTGCTCCATGACATCGTCTACACCCAACACGCGCTCACGCTCGTCTTCGAGTACCTGGTGAGTGCTCTCCGTGCTCGCGTTGCTCGCCTGCCCTGTGTGGCCTGAATTCATGCGCAGACCCGGAACCCGCGTCCCCCGCGGGAATGGTTACACCGATCCGTACCAGACCTGGGGGCAAAAATGTTCTGCATTCCCGGCGATCTCGAGCTGCTGGGCAGACTTTGAAAATGACCCCCTCTGGAGTCGTTTTCAAGGTCGGGCCTGAGAGCCCATTAAACAATTCGACAAATTTGCAGAACGTACTTTCGGTCAGTGAACTTTATACCACTTATGTCTAACGTGAACGCGTGTATTTATGATACGCAACACAGCACATTGTCTGTGCGCTATTACGAGTTATCTTCTCCACTCACCGCCTCTGAGAATAAAAACAATCTTTTAAAATGTAAGCGTCAGGGTCAAACAGAGAATGACCAAAAAGGTCAGATATTAAACTTAAGTATACTTGCAGACATCTTTATTATTGTGCGTGTTTGGGTCTTTCGATCGGAGAGAAATATGACTTTAACATGTGACCTCAAAGTAAAATACAACATCGGCAAAAAAGGTCAAATTAGATTGAAAACTAATTTCTTTAGACTTGCTTTCTGTGTTTAGATTGGTGTCCTTGCTCTGCACCTCCGATTAGCATGTTTGGCTACGTACGGTGCGGAAGAAGTTCAACATACAAATGATAAACTATTGTTATTCTTGTGGGGACTTTGGTGACCTGATTGCTTTTGAACAGTAATTGTTCCAGCACTGCATGTATCAAGGGGCATCTGCAGTGTGTCCTGCATCATTGTAAATCCTTGGACTTGAGACCTTTGAGATATGAGTGCCAGTTGGAAGGTTCTGTATAAAAAATATAGATGATCCTTAATGGACACGGTGACCGGTTTATAGCTACAAGGACCCTCTTATTTCTCAACAGATGATTGAATATCGTGTGGCTCAATTTCTTACAGTGAAGAGTGTTATCATGTGTAATATTAATAATAATACAAATTGTAAAATGACTTAAAATAATTTGGGGAATATTGAATTGGATTTCCCTGTATATTCCATCAAACTCATCACTTTTTTTGTACAAATGACCTGCACTATTTTAGCACGAGCTTTAACATTACGACATACTGAAAATATATTCTCTGCATTATAAAAGGGAAGCGCCTGTCACGGGAAATGCGCGTACGTGCGCTCACTCATTCCAGACCGCGTGAGCTAATTGTACTTTGGTTCCTCGCCTGCAGGAGACTGACTTGCACCAGTACATGGAAAGGCACCCAGGGGGCCTCAACGCGCACAACGTGAAGGTCAGTGACCACAGCCTCCTGCCAAGGCCACGTGCCACGTCACCTGCTCATCGGTTATGTTGCGCTGTCAGAAGGCGCCCGGCGGCACGACGGTGGCGTGGTGGAGACGCTCGCGCCTCGCAACAAGAAAGGGCCTGGGTTTAATCTCCGACTCGGGCTCCTTCCTGTGTGGAGTCTGTATGCTCTCACCTTGTTCTGCATGGGTTTCCTCTGGAGTCTCCAGTTTCCTCTTGTAGTAAAAAAAACATACGGTGTAACTAACTGGTATTGGCAAAAATTCTCAATGCTCAATGTACCTGCAAATTACTCAATTGGGATCTCACACAGCAGCATCACTGCCTACTGCAAAAACTTGGCAGAACCCTCAGCTGAGGCTTTCTTGGCTAAACAGGTGTAACAACAACAATAATAATAACTACGTCAATTCACTTATGTCTTTGTACATCTCCACGTGGCAATGTGTCTTCTCGAGGCTTGTGTTGCCGCTTGACGCACACTTGTGCATCATTCAGCTGCTACATATCAGTGTAACCACGCTTTCTTAGCGGGAGTGCCTGTGTGTGCTGCATCTCCGTGGGGAATGGTCATGTCGCGGTTAGAAGCACTGCACTGTGAACCCGGCGACCCGAGTTCGATTCCCGCTCACGACCAATAACAGTGGCGAATATTTGAACTGGTCCTGGGCCTCCCCTAGGTCAACTCAGCCTCAAATGAGTACCTGGTGCAATGTGTAAGCATCGTGTGGTGCTGGCCTCCCACCTGTTAGGTTCTTGCTAACAGAACTTTCCCCAATAGTCTAAGGCTAAATGGGGGGGGGGGGGGGGGGGGGGGGAGGGGTCTTTTGTCTGTGACATGGTTATGCCATTGACAGAGACACGTTATGCAACCTTATGTTTTAGGACAGGGGTCGGGAACCTATGGCTCGCGAGCCAGATGTGGCTCTTTTGATGATTGCATATGGCTCGCAGATAAAACAAAATATTCTCACTTGTTTTAATCCATCCATCGATTTTTCACTGCGCATGTCCTGTTCAGGGCTGCAGGAGCAATTGTCCATTATTTTAATTGGATGATACTGGCCTACGTTTGCCGTTGCTGGGTAAAACAGGTAAACGCCCCCTTTTGAATCAGTCTGAGACTGCGTCTGCTCGGTCATTAGCTCAAAGCTAACCCTTCGACGAAGAAGATGGCGAAAAGAAAAAAAGACGACGAGTATCGTACATTTCAGGACGAATGGACCGAAGAATTCGCCTTTGTGGAGAGAGCGGGTTCTGCGGTGTGTCTAATTTGCAATGACAAAATTACATCGTTGAAACGGTCGAATGTAAAGCGGCACTTCGACACTCGCCACGCTACCTTTGCATCAAAATACCCTGCGGGAGACAGCAGAAAGAAAGCGTGCCAAGAGCTTCTGAGCAGGGTGCAAGCTAGCCAGCAGCAACTCCGCGTATGGCCCCGGCAAGGTGACTATAATTCGGCTAGCTTTGCTGGTTCTTTAGCAATAGTGAGGAACGGAAAACCATTCACAGATGGCGAGTATGCTAAAACGTTCATGCTGGATGTAGCCAATGAACTTTTTGATGATCTTCCGAACAAAGACAAGATAATCAAACGGATACAAGACATGCCTCTGTCGGCAAGAACTGTTCATGATCGTACCATCGTGATGGCAAACAAAGTGGAGGAAACGCAAGTGAAGGACATAAATGCAGCGCCGTTCTTTTCTCTGGCTTTGGATGAGTCAACAGACGTGAGCCATTTGTCGCAGTTCAGCGTGATTGCAAGATATGCTGTTGGTGACACACTGCGCGAAGAAAGTCTTGCTGTTCTGCCATTAAAAGGGTCCACAAGAGGTGAGGATTTATTCAAGTCTTTCATGGAGTTTGCTCAAGAAAAAAGTCTATCTATGGATAAACTTCTCTCAGTGTGTACTGATGGTGCTCCGTGTATGGTGGGGAAAAACAAAGGATTTGTGGCGCTTCTCCGTGAACATGAAAATAGACCCATCCTAAGTTTCCATTGCATTATACACCAGGAGGCACTTTGTGCTCAGATGTGTGACAGGCAGTTTGGCGAAGTGATGTCGCTGGTCATTCGTGTGATCAACTTTATTGTTGCCCGAGCCTTAAATGATCGCCAGTTTAAAACACTGCTGGATGAAGTTGTAAATAACTATCCTGGTCTGCTTTTGCACAGCAATGTGCGTTGGTTGTCAAGAGGGAAGGTGCTTAGCCGTTTTGCGGCTTGCCTGAACGAAATCCGGACTTTCCTTGAAATGAAAGGCGTCGGGCATCCTGAGCTAGCCGACACCGAGTGGCTCCTCAAGTTTTACTATCTCGTAGATCTGACTGAACATCTGAACCAGCTCAACGTGAAAATGCAAGGCATTGGAAATACAGTGTTATCCCTTCAACAAGCTGTATTTGCTTTTGAAAACAAGCTGGAGCTTTTCATCACGGATCTTGAAACAGGTCGTTTACTACATTTTGAAAAACTGAGCCAATTTAAAGATGCATGCACAGCAAGTGAGCCCATTCAAAACCTTGATCTCCACCAGCTAGCTGGCTGCACATCCAGTCTCCTACAGTCCTTCAAAGCACGCTTTGGAGAATTTCGTGAGCACACTCGTCTTTTTAAGTTCATCACCCATCCAAACGAGTGTTCACTGAACACAGCCGACCTGAATTACATCCCTGGTGTCTCCGTCAGAGATTTTGAAGCAGAAGTGGCTGACCTGAAGGCCTCAGACATGTGGGTGAATAAGTTCAAGTCACTGAATGAAGATTTGGAAAGAATCACACGACAGAAAGCGGAGTTGGCGAGCAAGCACATGTGAACAGAAATGAAAAAACTCCAACCCGAAGACCAGCTGATTCTCAAAACTTGGAACGCGCTTCCTGTCACATACCACACACTGCAGCGTGTGAGTATTGCTGTATTGACCATGTTTGGATCTACGTATGCATGTGAGCAGTCATTCTCACATCTTAAAAACATCAAGTCCAACCTACGATCACGTTTAACGGATGAAAGCCTCAACGCTTGCATGAAGCTTAACCTCACCAAGTACCAACCCGACTACAAAGACATCAGGAAATCCATGCAGCACCAGAAGTCGCATTAATGGTGAGTGTTATAACAACATTATTTAAAAGAATAAATTCAGAGGCTTATTATACTGACATTTAGTTGAATTCACTTTTAAAATATATTATATGGCTCTCACTGAAATAAATTTCCAAATTTTTTGCTTTCATGGCTCTCTTAGTCAAAAAGGTTCCCGACCCCTGTTTTAGGATAATTAACATTGAAGGGTGTGTTTCATTGCGAAAAAAAATAACATTTCAGTCAATGGGCCTTCTGGAGCCATGTTTTCATCAGCATTCGTTTAAGAAGCAAACTCTCGACTGGTTCCAGCTCAAAACTAATGCAAACAAGTGGGGAGCATCGGTTAAACAGGCCCATAGATTAATAGACTTCATAGCCCTCTCCTGCCACCCTGACGCTCAGGGACTGAGGTCAATCGGAGCTGATGCCTCGTGTACTGACTGGCGCTGCGTGCAGCTGTTCCTGCTGCAGCTGCTGCGCGGGCTGGCGTACACGCATTCGCGGGGCATCCTGCATCGCGACGTGAAGCCACACAACCTGCTGCTCGGCGTGTCCGGGGAGCTCAAACTTGCCGACTTTGGTAAGCGTGAAGTCTGTACGGACACAAATGCGCGCATGCACGTAATCACGTGGCGTCACGGCCGGCAACAGCCGTGTGCTCTGCGCCACCACTTGTCCCTTAGGCCCACCCCGAATGAACTCTGCTTAGTGGTGATCACTGCTCTGGTGGCCCCCCACGCAACAGCTTTACTACCCCCCCCCCCCTCCAAATGAGAACAGCAGAGGGGCGCCACGGTGGCGAGATGTTAACTCCCTTGCCTGGTATGCAGAAGGTCGTGGGTTCAATCCGGACCCAGTGGTCACGTGGATTTTTCTCCAGGTCCTTCGGTTTTCCCCTCCACATTTCGAATCATGCGGTTAGAGTATTTGGCTGCTGTACATTTCCACGTGATAAGCCACTTCCTTGAGCTATCATTTGTGGCCAGGTCACTTCTGAAAAAGAGCTATATAGTTCAGTGGGCCTTACCTGTTAAAATAAAAGGATTAGTGGTTTAGTTTAGGTTTAGTTGGGCTTGTTGGTAACAATGACAATAGATGACCACCACCAGCGGTAAAGTAAATTTAACTTTTATTTAAATGAATGGCAAGCTTTCTGTTAAGCATCGCATACACAATTTTTAATGTTATTTTAAGTTAAAATAATTAATTAAGGCTCGTGTATTCCTTGCCCTAATTTAATGTAACCCTTTTTATTGAAATCTCAACTATTACTTCTTCAGGACAGTTTTGAGAAGTATGGCCTGTGCCGGTCACAAACCCCATGTGACCTCAGTCCACATGTGTCAGTCATCAATGGCTGTATTTGGGTGGCAGGGTGGTGAAGTGGTAACACTCTTGCCTCACACCAAGAAGAATCTGGGTTCGATTCCCGACTCAGGCACCTTTTTGTGTGGAGTCTTTATGTTATCCCCCTGTTCTGCACGGGTTTCCTCCAGGTTCTCCATTTTCATCCCATAGCTAAAACACACATCGCACTGTGACTGGTATTGGCCAAACATCCCAATGCTGGAAAATCACGTGCAAATTATGCGTTTAGAAATACAGATAACCTCGCACCAAGCACCGGAAATCTTCTTGAGGCTCAGTAAGTCTTTTGCTGGGTTAACATAGCCGGGTAACAATAATAATGCTGTGCTGCTGCTGCTGTTGCCGCCGCCACAGGGATGGCAAGGGCACAGTCGGTGCCCAGCCGCTCCTACTCGAGCGAGGTGGCGACGCTGTGGTACCGCCCGCCCGACGTGCTGCTCGGCTCCACGCGATACTCCTCCGGCCTCGACATGTGGTCAGAGCAACCGGCGGGGCAGGACGCTCGCCCCCGCACGGACCCCGGCCGCACCGTGCCCGGTCCCACGATGCCCAGCTACTGCGATGGCCTCTCTCAGCGCCGCCTGCTCATTTCACTCGAACATTATTAATCCACTGCGGTTTTTCTTCCGACTCAATTCCGAAGGGAATCGGGAGTAAAAGGCCATGCGGGAGGGCGTGTGCCCCAGTTTGGCACCAGCTATCATAGAGTGTGGCCGTGTCGCTGCGGTGAGTACAATGCCTTTAAATACAGAAGTACTACGCCTCTCTAAATAAGATCAACGCTGATCCGCTTGCGTTCTCCGAGATTCAGCGGTGAACGGGACACCCACCCCGCAATTTGCAGACGTCCCGGAACGGGAAAGGGTTAAACAGGTGGCAAAGGTGTAAACCTGAAGTCACTTGTGCAAGCTACTACTGGCGGAAAGGCCTTCACTCGAGGAAGCCCAAGAGAGCCCCCCCGAGAGCAGCGCTCCCCAACCTTTTTGGCACCAGGGACCGGTTTCTTGGAAGACAATTTTTTTCACGGACCGGAGGAGGGGGGTTCATCATTGGGTCTTTCCCCCTTTTCAAAGAAGTTCTCCAGCGATGTTTTTGTTTTTTTTACTCATTGTGGCTACTAGGGGTTAGAGCTTGTGGGCTTTATACCAACACTGAGACTGAGTGCGCAGTGCAGGAAAGAGGCGCGGACAGAAGTGGTAAATAATAAAATAATGGTGGTGGCCCACGCGCCGACTCACCGCTCTCACCTCCTGCTGTGCGGCCCGGTTTCTAACAGGCCGCGGACCGGTACCGGTCCGCGGCCCAGGGGGTTGGGGACCCCTGCTCGAGACGGTATTTGTCCCACTCTTCCACGCTCACCAGACGTCTTGGAAGTGGTGGAAGTACCCACACTTTAACCCACCGCACGCCACCTGCCGACGGACGAACGAACTGCAGAGTGTCCATTGATACGGGCTTCACTCGTGCCCACGTGGTGTTTCCTTCTCTCCCGTGTGTGGGGGGCCCAGGGCTGTCGGTTGTATCTTTGTGGAGATGCTGCAGGGCATGGTGATCTTCCCCGGGGTGCCGGGCGTCTGGGATCAGCTGGAGCGCGTGTGGCAGGTAGAGCCGCGCCGTTCGTGTTGCACCGTGGGTTTATTTAATAATTATAATAATCATTTGCTCGCATTTGTTCTTCGCGGTGTTTTTTTTCATGAAAATGTTATTGTCATTAAAGAACCCAGAATACAAAGTGGATTTCAAAAATACAGAAAAAAAACTGCAGATAGCATTTCACAAGCTCCGCGTAATGCGTGCTCAAGATTAGGGATCGGACGAGGGCATCCGGGCTCGCTACCCTACCACGGTCGGGGTAACGATCGGGAGCGGTATCACGCCATTCTCATTGTGCGAGGCTATCACGAAGGAAGGCGCTGTAGTTTGCAGACTGTTCGCAGTAGTTGCACAGGAGTGGGCGATGTTTCCTGTGTGTCATCCCACGTGAGTGATTTGCACGTACATTTGACAAATTTGGACCATGACGCCAGAACGCAATGGCCTAACTCTTTTGCAATGATGTCACGTGATCATTAATATCCACTGTAAATCAGATGGCACGTATTTGACAGGTAATGCACGTGCAATATTAACCAGGGCAGCCTGCCGGGTTGGAGCTGTGAACCTCTGCAACAAGCGGGGAACGCGCTGCCGCTGGGCCATGTCCTAGGTTGGCCACATCGCGGCGACCCTAGCTGCACATCGTGATCAGCTTCAGTGGCATCGGCAGGTGACAGAGAAGTGTCCGCTACAACCTCGCCACGGAGAGAAGGAACGCCCGGTTCTCATGGCCAGAGGGAAGTGTGCTCGCTTGGGGCTCGTACTGGGCAAGGCCAGTGAGAACCCACGTTCTCACAGCAGCTCGACCCGGCTTCAACCACATGTGAAACGTTCTCGGGTGACAGATCGACGGATGGTTGGTCAATTTAGACAGAAACGGCAATCCCCTGGGCATAGAACTAATCAGCGCAATCGGCTCCCCGAACAAGCATGCTTTAACATCCCTGTCCAGGTGCTTGGGACACCAAATGAAGAAGAATGGCCAGAAGTGACATCTCTGCCGCTCTACAAGCCAGGTGAGTTTTGCTTGGAAACTATTGAAACTGAATAATTTGTCTGTTACCAGGTAAGGCCCACTCAGCTGTATACTGTAGCTATTTTTTCATAAGCGACCTGGCCACAAATGACGGCTCAACGAAGTGGCTTATCGCGTGGAAATGTACAGCAGCCAAATACTCTAAATGCATTTTGATTTTCAGTTTAACACGTAGGCTTTCGCGACCAATATTCATAATAAAGGTTTTTGGGTTAGATCGCATTATTTATAAATGTGTTGTAACCCTCCACCACCCGACACGGCCAATCAGTAAAAAAAGTGTCACGTTGACAAAAGACAAATAGTTCACTACTTTAGCTCACCGGTGTGTTGAAGAGTGAATCCACAACATTTACAATTTTTTGAGTACGACGTTTCGCTGGTAATTACATCCAGCATCATCGGGCAATTTGCCAGAATGTGGAGGGAAAAACCGGAGGACATGGAGAAAAATCCATGCGACCACGGGGAGAGTAACATGCAAACGCCAAATATACAGCAGGCGTCATGGTCGGGATCGAACCCACGATCTCCTACGTACCAGGCGAGGGAGTTAACATCTCGCCACTATTACTCGACGGCCTGACCTTGTTCAGGCCATTGAGTAACCCCAGGTAGCCAAGTAGCCGAATGGCACGAACGCCACTGAGCCTGTGTTCACGGAGCACTGAATTGAGTATCGTCTGCTGCGCATAAACTGTCAGAGTGCCGTCTACTGTGGAGTGGGCATCTATGACCCTGTGACAGTAATCCACAAGAGAGCATGCCAATCTTTGCTCGTGCTGGAACTCACGTGCCCAGTGTGAACATTAAACTACAGCTAAATAGCAATTGGGCAACTTTTATTTCCAAAAAATATGATTCTATCTCAATGGGCTCTTAATTGCCTAAATGTATAAATATAGTAGCGAAATATACAAACAATTCTAGATTGATAGCCAATGTTTTCATGGAGAAATTTGAATCGGACGCCATCCAGACTTCCACCCTCAGACCTTCCCTGTGGAAGAGATATGTGGATGACACTTTCGTCATTAGGCCACATGGCCTCCCAGCTCTGAACCTTTTCCTACACCACATCAATTCCAGACATCCCGCCATCAAATTCACCATGGAAGTGGAGAAAGATGGCAAGCTACCATTCTTGGATGTTCTGTTTGAGAGGAGACCTGATGGCTCATTGGGGCATTCTGTCTACAGGAAACCCACCCACACAGATTCCTACTTGAAACCTGATTCCCACCACCACCCAGCTCAAAAGAATTCTCTCATCAAAACTTTATACCATAGGGCTCATTGCAATTCGGACCAACACCACCTGACCAGTGAATTAAAACATGCACACCTGGCCCTCAAAAGGAATGGATACTCTAACCGTACCATCCGCCAAGCTGTCTCTCCCTCCATACAGAAACAACCACTTGATACTCTTGTCAAAACCATCACACTACCATATATAGCAGGCGTCACTAAAAAGATTTCCAAAATTCTAAACAAACACAAGATCCAGGTCCGGTTCAATACAGTACACAAAATTCGTGATCTGATCCCATCCGTGAAGGATGTCATTCCTGACTTACAGTACCCCGGGGTTTACAAATTGAGTTATACCTGCGGTGATTGCTATATCGGGGAGACGAAGCGACATGTCTCTGACCGAATTCGCGAGCACAAATCAGATTTGAAACACGGCAGAACGAATTCTTCTGCCGTGGCTGATCACTGTTACAACGCTGTGGGTGATCACGATATAATTTTCTCCGATACCAAGGTTCTTTGCAAACCCACGGGGGTTTTTTTTTTTATCAGAGATTTGTTCACGAGGCAATTCAGATTTACAAACGCAGACACAATTTCAACCGAGAAGATGGTTTCAAATTAAGCTACCATTGGAAAGATGTTCTAAATCGAACCAAACATTAAACTAATTTTCAATGGTACAGTATATTTTTTCAAGTAGTGGTACCCCAAACATTCGTGCTTCCCATTTCTTCCCTTTCACACCTCCCCCCCTCGCCGACCTGCACATGTTCACCTTTCATCATGCTAAGTCCACCAATTAAATGCTAATTTTTTATGCTAATTCCTTTGTCAAGGCACCTTGATTGCTCTCACACAAGCTTAAAGGTCGCGGTCTGAGCTTGGCTGTGTTCACTCCAGCGCTGTTCTCGAGACAGTCTGGTCCCTTCACCTGATGAAGGTCGCTTGTGTTGTGGCGGAAACGTCGTGATTTTTGTTGTTTTATTTTTTACCTACGTGGCTTTGCCGAATAGAACCAAAGAGTATAAATATACAAACATTCAACCCTGGCAGCTTGATTAGGTCTTCACAAATGTACAGGCTCAAACAAAGCACTAAACCACATTTTAAATGTTTTTTTTTTGTACAGCCACCAGTGGCTTGCTGGAGACTATCAAAGCCCCCCATTTAGGAAATTCATCTCTCTTGAGTGGGAGTCTTGAATGAGACCCAGCATCTCTGTTATGTTGGCAAAATATTATTGACAGAGGCATTGCCCTCTTGAGCTATCTAGAAACCAGTTTAATATAATATAACTTTCAATATATTCACTAATCCCACTGTTGTACTGTACTTGCGTTTCCAGAAGGCATTGTGCCTAAAAATCCGCGGCAGCTGGGAAGAGTGTGGAGAATGTGAGTAGAGTAAATTCGACATGATCGTGTCTCCTCTGCTGATTAAAACATCACACGATACTCTCAGTTTTCCTGGATGCAAACACTTGTAACTTATTGTGTTTTTGTACTTTTATTATATTTTTTTTATTTTGCTTATTTACCCAGGAAATTCTCACTGAGTCTCGAGACTAATTTTCTTGAAGGTACTGCCACGTTTTTTGGAATAGGGAGCCGATGTTGCTCAATGTAATCCCAATTGAGTAATTTGCAGGAAACGTTAGCATCGGGATATTTACCCAAAAACACCAGTTACATCGAGTGTGTTTTGTTTTGTTACGGGTGTAAACTGGAGAACCCAGAGGGAACTCATGCAGAACAGGGAGAGAACATACAAACTCCACACAGAATGGTGCCTGAGTCGGGGATCGAACCCAGACTATTCTTGCTGTGCGGCACTAACATTACCGCTTCAGTCCCATGCCGCCTACGAGGACCTTAATGTTGAATTACATTATTCCCGAGAGATACGTTCCGGAGATGCTCGTGAGTAGCAAATTTGGCAAATAATTGTTGGCCCACAAAAAAAACTCTTTGTAAAGAATTACCTTCAATGAATTCTTAAATAAGCTATTAAATACGTGACAATTATCTCATCAATTTCTCACGTCACACGATCTCTCATCGCTCTTATCTCATCACCTTCCCTCGTTCTCGATGAATCGGCCATGCCGAGTTCCAGATGCGATTCGCAGGCAGCCAGAATCGCGGACGGCAAGTTCACGAGTAAGGAGGTTGATGGCCCGTGCACCCCACGGCAGGATCGGCTGCTGTATTACCAACTCGTGCGATACTACTCCTGCGTGTCAGGCTGGGCTGTGACCCGCACGCAGAGGACCTGGCTCGGAGTTTGCTGCAGTGCTGCCCGAGCAGAAGGCTTCCTGCCCACGCAGCGCTGAGGCACTCCTACTTCAGCGACCTCCCTCCCCGCGTGCGCGCTCTACCTGACGGTCAGCCCTGCAGCAGCAGCAGCATCGGCGTCATCACAATCATAGTTTACATTGCTTGGTGTTTCGCGTCATGCTCGTTTGCGCAAGGCTCTCGCCAAGGGCGCCACGCTTCGCAGATGTCGACTGCGGTGTTGTTTCACAGTAGGGGGGCAATCGCAATCGAGTGATTTGCAAGTCGTTTTTCGGCATTAGGATGTTTGGCTAATATCAGTTGCATTTCATCGGATACTCACTGACGATGTTGCCATTTGTGCAACTCCCATCATCCACGAATCTACTTGCTGTACTGCGGTCTTCTGCTTGTTGTCATACCATCTTAAACTTGCTGCACTGCTATCTCCTGGCCATCTTAAAGCACCGCACGTTTTAAAGTTTCGTAAATCTTCTTTGGTTCTTTCGGTAAAGTCACGTAGAATGAGAATAAAATAATAAATTGATAAAATAAAATAACACAATAAAATTCTCACGACGTTTCGGCCACAACACAAGCGGCCTTCATCAGGTGAAGGGACGAGACTGTCTGGAGGACAGCACTGTAGCCGAAACGTCGTGAGAATATTCTTGTGTTATTTTATCAATTTATTATTTTATTCTCATTCTACGTGACTTTACCGAAAAAACCAAAGAAGATGAATCCTTGCAGTCACGAAAGCTTTAAATCGAAATTTCGTAAATCTGTGTAACTCCACCAACCCTTGCCTCCAAAGCATTGGGGTGAAAGCAATGCACCTGTGTTGTTGTTATCTTTACACCTGTGTTGATGTTATCTTTACACCTGTGTTGATGTTATCTTTACACCTGTGTTGATGTTATCTTTACACCTGTGTTGATGTTATCTTTGCACCTGTGTTGATGTTATCTTTGCACCTGTGTTGATGGTATCTTTACACCTGTCTTGATGTTATCTTTACACCTGTGTTGATGTTATCTTTGCACCTGTGTTGATGTTATCTTTGCACCTGTGTTGATGTCTTTGCACCTGTGTTGATGTTATCTTTGCACCTGTGTTGATGTTGTCTTTGCACCTGTGTTGATGTTATCTTTACACCTGTGTTGATGTTATCTTTACACCTGTGTTGATGTTATCTTTGCACCTGTCTTGATCTTGTCTTTGCACCTGTGTTGATGTCTTTGTACCTGTGTTGATGTTATCTTTACACCTGTGTTGATGTCTTTACACCTGTGTTGATGTTATCTTTACACCTGTGTTGATGTTATCTTTACACCTGTGTTGATGTTATCTTTGCACCTGTGTTGATGTCTTTGCACCTGTATTGATGTTGTCTTTGCACCTGTGTTGATGTTATCTTTGCACCTGTCTTGATGTTATCTTTACACCTGTGTTGATGTTATCTTTACACCTGTGTTGATGTTATCTTTGCACCTGTGTTGATGTCTTTACACCTGTGTTGATGTTATCTTTACACCTGTGTTGATGTTATCTTTGCACCTGTGTTGATGTCTTTGCACCTGTGTTGATGTTATCTTTGCACCTGTGTTGATGTCTTTGCACCTGTGTTGATGTCTTTACACCTGTGTTGATGTTATCTTTACACCTGTCTTGATGTTATCTTTGCACCTGTGTTGATGTTATCTTTACACCTGTGTTGATGTTATCTTTGTATTGTTTGTTGTTGTAACGTTCTGACCCGCCCCGACTCGACATCTGTGAAAAAGAACTTCACAGCTTATCGGATTCCTCCAGTATACACAAATCTGATTCTGATACACACTTGCACCAGGTACTCATTTGAGGCCGATGCGACCTACGAGAGCGACCAGCACAGGTTCATGCAACCACGGACGTTGGCAAGGAACTTGACTTATGTTGTTGTCAAACTCACAGGGAATCGCTTTGACCACCGGTTAAGAGCCAATTGTGATGAGGATGATGATTGGCCTGCTGCTGCTGAGGATTGTTTTTTTGTTTTGTTGCTTCAGTGAAATTTTATTTCTGTGAAAATGTGTCTACCCTTACAGTTTTATGATCACAGGGTCGTTGATGTTGTCGTCATCACCAGGTTTCCGTGCTATCCCAGCATGAGAATCATAAGCCGCATCCTAAGAGTGCTGGACACGACAGTCGTTATCGAAGCACTGTGGCAGATCGAAGCCCAGACATTGCATTGTACCTTGTATGTATGTATGTTGAACTTCTTTCGCACCGTACTTAGCCACCCGTGCTAGTCGATGGTTCGGGATTAATCCGAATGCCGTGCGGTTTGCAATGCAGCGCTGTCGGTGTTCAGCGTGGAATCTGTGGCGCTGCTGCCAGAGGGGACGGCGCATCCCTCGGCGCACTGCAACCCCGACAGCTCCTGGAAGCCCAGCAAATGGCGGCGGTAGCCGCAGCAGCAATGCTGAGAAGCACGTCGTTGCCACGGCACTCGTGGTGGGCACCGCGGTGGCTCGGAGATGTTAACTACCTCGCCCGGTATACAGGAGGCCATGGGTTCGATGCCGGCCCTGACGATGCCTCTATATTTGTAGTTCGCACGTTCTCCCCGTGGTCGCGTGGATTTTTCTCCGGGTCCTCCGGTTTTTCCCTCCACATTAAGAAACATGATATTGGAGTATTGGCTGCTATACATTACCACGCTATAAGCCACTTCGTTGAGCTATCATTTGCGGCCATGTCGCTTCTGAAAAAGTGCTATACAGCTCAGTGGGCCTTACCTGGTAAAACAAATTCAGTGTGGGAGAGCATGAGTTTTCATGCATTGCCTTCGGGTGAGTTCACATTGGATGACATCAGTGTAGTAATTTCAACATTAACTCTGTTATATTCTGTTATGCGGCAATATGTTCAAGAGCTTAATGCCAATGTCGAGGTCTGTTAGCTACGAGAGGGCTTCAGGAGAGCATTGCATGGCAGTCACTTTTATATATGTGTAAAATAATGACGGTGCTAGCATCGACGAGCCTTGAGTTGAGACCAGTGTTCGTAATTATCTTGCCACTGTGTTCACCGGCGAGGTGTTCACCCTGAAAGTTCGGTTGTTGAGCATTGCGTAGATTAGGTGAACAGTACAACGGCCTCTGATGATATTGACCATCTGCTAGCAGCAGGCCATGATGCCAAACGGTGTCATAGGCAGCACAGAGGTCAACCATTTGCTGTGACGGTTTTCTGCTGACGCTGGAAACTGGCTTCTATGATGGTGGTGAAGGCAACTATCTGTCCGCAGCAGCTACAGACAGTTTGAAACCCGGCTCATTCAGAAGGCAGTGTATGATCGATAATGGGGGGGGGGGGGGGGGGGGGGGGGGGGTAAGTTCGACAAGTATGGAGCATGTTCCATCAGCTTAGAGGTGTAGGACAAGTAGGTTATTGGCCTGTAGCTGGATGGAGTCTTGTGACTTTTTATGGGTTTCAAAATTACTTTGGCTTGCTTCCATGCTTTCAGGATTTTGCCCGTCCTGTGTGTGACGGGGAACATTGTTTGCAAGCCGTTGTTGTCCATCCAGTCCCAGGTTCTTTAGCAACTCAGGACGTAGGCCATCGTATCCCGGTGCTTTGCTGGAATCTTGTGGCCCTGAGGGCCGCTTCCACTTCAGCGGCCGTGAATTTGGCCTCGTTGGATCTGTCGCTTGCGGTAGTTGACTCAAGGTGATGATGGTGGCGGAGAGTTGGTGAGTTGTTTGCGGACAGCTCATAGGTGCGCTTGTCCGTCGGTGCCTTTGAGCAGGGACACCAGCGCGTGGGCAGCCACGGCATCCGCTGTGGTTGGTGGTGGTCTCTGTTCTGTTGGTTTTGAGGCACCCTGCTTCTGGAGCAGCTGAGAGGGTTGATGGCCGGAGTGAGTGAAGTCCAAATCTGCCGTGATGGAGATCAGGGACTCCTTATCTCAGTCGCCAGTTCTGATGAACTCTTGCTCTGTTTCTGTATTGCCAACCTGGCGGTATAGCTTTCTCCGATACCCGCTCGGGATGTTGTTATTTTGCAGCAGATGTCACAATTTCAATGAAGCCATCGAAGCCTTCAGGATTTTGTGTCCAGGTTCTTCAATTGAGCTTCACTATTTATTTCGCAACACATCCACGCATTCCAGTGTCACACAACCGCCTCCACTATCTGCAAATCCGTTTATCCACAAACACGCAACTGTGTCTCTCCACAACGTCTCGCGCGAGGGGAATTGAACTGCAGATGCAAACAAACTCTTAAAGTGACCTTGGCAGGACCTGTTCTGCTTATGTAGGTCTGGATGTGTGCGTGGTTTGGAGGTGTCACTGATACCAGAACCCGATTGGACTCATGGGACAAGAGCCTCGGCACCCCAGCTTTCGGCAGCCCCGCTCTCCGCGCGGGTGCCTTGCGTTTTGTTCAATTCCGCGTTTTGCCTGATGAAACCCGGCCAACTGCGAAGGGTGAGGTTACGGATTCTGCACGGCGACAGACGTTTGTCATCGCGCGTCTTCCGGCCTGCCGGCGCAGAAGGGGTGGCCACGCGAAAGCCCCTCGCCACGTCCCCCTCGTCGCCACCTGTCAAAAGTGGCACCAACGAGGTTCGAGGTCGCGTGTCTCTCGCCTCGTTAGCCTGTGGCCATGGCCTCGCTGACAACGTGAAGGCCGGCAGCCATCGCTGGGCTCACATTTGGAAAATAACAAAAAAAAGTATCTTCAAAATAGGCACGTGCAGCGGTTCAAAATAGCCATTAGCAGCCGTTCGCTCTCATGACTGGAAGTGTTTCTGTGTTTCGTGCAGTTTTGGTCAAAGTAAATGTGAAGATTAAAATGAAGATTTAGACAACTCCGGTTGCTCCAACTATGTTTAATTTACACGGCCCTTTGTCAAACCACTGCTCGATGAAGGCCTCCGTGCGCCGTATCGGTTATGGGGCTTGGTTGACTGTACTTTCACCTAACTGGTCGGTGCGAGGTGGTTAAAGGGGATACCCAGGACTGGCTCAGATATCACTCGCCACTGATATAAGCCATAGCCAGGAATCGAACTCGGCTTGCCGGTTTCATGACGCAGTGCACTAACCACCGCGCAACCATGAATACATGAATAAGAAACTGATTACTGGGCCAACATGTCTAATAAGCATTTGGTGGTGCTGATAGTTGGCATGAGGTGGGAAGGGGCGATGCAATGAGCGCAGTGTTGACGCAGCATTTCAACAAGGGCAGCAGCTGTAACACTCTCCACAGGACTGCGTACGCAGCAGGGGTTGTAAGTGTTATTCTGCAATTGAAAATGGCTATTATTAGTAGAGTATGGCTATTATTCCCCACAAACTTTGCTTTTGTGACCAGGACACAAAAGCAACGTTAATAATCCACTCCATTAACAGTGTGTAACACATTTATTATTATTTTTGTTCCTGGGTAGTAAGTGTTATTTCCTAATTGTTAATGCCTCAAAACTACAGAAAATGGCTATTATTCCCCATAAACTTTGCTTTTGTGACTAGGACAGTGATATTTTGAAATTTACCTATTTTCAATGAGAAAACGTGGTGTGCATTTGTGTCATTCCTTCACGTAAAGTCCTGGTCACGAAAGCAAAGACAGCCAATTAGTAAGGGGTTTGTCACGTAAACAAAACGTGCCAATTAGTTGCTACTTCAGCACACCGGTGTGTTGAAGAGGAAACCCACAAAATGTACAATTTGAGTACGACGTTTCGCTGGTGATTACAACCATCTTCATCAGGCGGTCAGCCAGAATTGTGAAGAAGTCTTCCTGTTTCTGGTCTTCAATAGAGTCAGGTGATGTCATCTCCCTGAGCAATCTAACCCCCCCAAAAAAAGCCTTCATCACGAGAACACCCCAGTAGCAGTCTGAAGGGAAAGCCTGCCCAGCCTGCGCCGCTACCATTCCGCATGGATGTAGCATTTATCGCAGCATATACATCTTGCGCTGTTTGTATTGTTAACGCAGTGCGAACACTCCGTATTAAGCCGAGGCGTCTGGCAAGTGTACCCACTGCAGGCGCATGGAAACACTGCCCCCGTGACGTCACCGCGATATACGTAGGAGGCCGTGCAGCTCGGAAGATGGAGCAATGCTGAGATCCTGGACCACATTCTACGTTGTACAATGTCGTAAATTTGTACGATATATCTGCCCACGTCATGTCGAGGACAAACGGTAGCTATGCTATCTTAATAAGCCGTTATGTAGTTTACGCTGTTATCAAACTACTACATTAGTGGGATTAATGCGTCAACATCTTCCTGAACACTGCTAGGCTTTCTTGGAGTCGTGATTGTCGGCGTAAGGCACTACCACTAGAGTAACCCTATAATCCTCTGAACAGGTTTGGGGCAACACACGGTGAGACGGATTCAGCCGAGGGCCAAAACACAAATCCCAGCACAGGGCTCCAGACCATTTTCGCAGAAATTAAACTGCCTAGTGTTCCTGCGAACCGAGTGAAAGTTACCTTCAAAAGGACTCCCCAATAAGTGAATCCTTGTGTATGTACTAAGTCACGACTTGTGCCGTGCGCACGTGGCACGCATTACATAACATGAATGAATGATCTATGCAATAGGAAGGAGAAGAAAGCACTTTTTTTTATCTCACACAGACTTTAAACTATCCGAGAGCACGTGCGTTCATCACGTGCTTGCTCAGGAGTCGCCAACCTTTCAAAGAAGAGGACACATTGTTTTAGTTTTGGATTTAACAAAAAAAATAGTTCGAGAGCCGCGTCACACGCAGAGCTACTTGTACACAAACACCGCCGCGGGTATACAGCAGATAACACATTCTGACTTAAACAAAATAGCCGATCGCACAAACTGCGTATGTTGTGTTTTTTCCGCCTTAGTTATTCTTTAACACTACAGTTTGACTCTTGTACATTGTGTTGTCACCAAGACATCCCATACCGACCTCATTACCTGCCATGTTTAACCAATTATCTTTACGTTATAAATTATCTTTACGATTTACGTTATTTAAAACAAACTAAAAACGGCTGCCCGCGAGGGGGGCAGCCACAGAGCCACCGCACGCGGCTCCGGAGCCGCGTGGTGCTGCCCGTGCCGGGCCACGCACCACGTGTGCCCGCCCCGGTAAGATGCTGGTGCCCCCCCACTCTCTCTTACGAGACGTCTGGCTGTGCAAGAGGCGTGGGTGGTGGGAGTTGCCCAGGTGCAATGGGAATCACCTCCACGCGAACGTATTGGCGGTACAGCGGTGGTGCGCGGTGTATAAAGAAGCGACCTTTTTTTTAATTCGCAAATAAATCAGTTCTCGCGATGTCGAAGCAGCGTGGGAAGGCGAACGTTGCGAACGGCTGAACACGAATCCTCGCAAAGCCTGCTGCCGGATAGCAACCCAGCCCGATGACGACTGACAATTCTGGCGAATTGCCCGATGATGCTGGATGTAATTACCAGCGAAACGTCGTACTACTCAAACTGTAAATGTTCTGGATTCACTCTGCAACACACCGGTGGGCTAAAGTAGCGAACTAATTGTCTTTTGTAAAGGCGACACTTTATTTTGCTGATTGGCCGTGTCGGGTGGTGGAGGGTTACGACACATTTATAAATAACGCGATCTAACCCAAAAAAACCTTTATTATGAATAATATTGGTCGCGAAAGCCTCCCACGTGTTAAACTGCCTCCGTGTTCCTTAAGACAGATTTCGATTCGCGTCCCAGACCCTTGGTCGGACGGTTCCTCCATTCATTTCCTCGATTAATTTCTTGTGCGGACGGTGGCGTCGACACAGACACACACAGACACTTTGTGACTCGCGCCACACGTTCGAATGGGAACGCAGCTGCCGAAATCAAAGGCAGCTTCCGATGGAGAGTCGGCAGCGGTTCGCCAACTGCGTCATCAGTTGCCGCCGATGACGGCGTGGTGTCTTGTGCTGCATCGGTGTGCCGCTAACACTTACACACTTACACACGCAACTCGCCCGACCTCGCTATGGTGAAGCCATCCGCGCGTTAGAGGTCGTCCATAAATGACATGACGTCACGCGATTTTGGACCGATTTTTGACCCTCCCCCCTCCCCCTTTGTCACTCGGCGTCACAAAAAATCAAATATGACGTCACAAAGCTCTGTCCCCCCCCCCCCCCCCAAATAAAACATGCTTCAAATCGCTTTAACCTTTTGTCATTGTATTTAATATGGCGCTGCACTCTGATGTTGTATGAGAAAACATTTATTAAAAAGTCTATTTAATTAAGTAGAACGTGTTGTCTATATTTATTTAAAGTTGCGCATTTTGATGTGACGTCACATTTCTCAAACCCCCTCCCCCCCCCCACCTCGTCAC